TAGATTCAGAGCTATTGTCAATATGCGTCTCAGTTTTTTCACATTTTTTGTACTGTGTGAGAAGCAATACGTACAATCTTTAAGCCAACCAGCTAAACGACGTTTACCCTCGTTTCACAGCCACAGTTCATTCGACCAAGCCAGATCTATTGGACTTGTTGCTGGAAGACAAAGTTTTTTATGTCTTTCACTGTTGCGCCGTGCACTTTAATTTACCGAACGGCCTTAATGGCGTCTTTTTACACCCTGATAATCACTTACGCTACTATAGCTGTAAGCTAGCATAAGATGTGCTATAACAGTACTGCTATACATAAAAATGCTCTTCAGACACTGTCAATGCTCCATTCTTCAGTAGACAAAGCAGTGTCTGACAAGACGGCGTAAATTTATTGAATCAGCTTTAAAAACTAATTGTATACTGTCGCTGTCGTTTTATATTGATACGCTTGTGATTACTGAAAATTTGCCTTTATATCGTGTAATTTTTTACGGTTATATAAAGAAAAATAACTATATATATATATATATAAACGTTTGTGTAGGCCGCCGCAAAGACTACGTTCTCTTACCGATCTCGCGAATTCGCGAAGTGCACCAGTCTTTACTTACTGTCCCATTTACTGCGGCATTACCTCTGTTTCAGGTATGTTTAGATTGTATCGTGGTACCACAAATAAGAAAGCGACAAAAATTCAGAGCAATTCAGAAAGCCATCCATCTGTATCTGTAATATAAACACTGTGGGCCAATGCAGTAAACACTAATGCAGAGATCTCTTCAAACTTATACACCTTGACTTACATCAGCTAAAAATGTTTACCATTTTTTAGTACCAATATACGATATAAATCGGTTGAAGACCTTTCATTGGTAACCTGCCAGTCAGCCCGGTATTATTAGGCCATATTTCGAACTTGTAACTGCATGAGTATGCTTGCCGCATTTTTCCTGGTCACATTATCCGCTAGTTATAACAAAGAAGCCTAGGTATTTTTTTTCTAACTTTTCCATGTATATGTTGTTTTTGTTGTTAGGCTCCATTCATTCTGCTGTGGCATCGTCCCGACGTTCTCGTGGCGAACGGACCAGGAATCTGTATACCGCTTATTTTGTGGTCGTTCGTTTTCGCCGTAGGTACCTCCTATGTTACAGGCTGTTCTTCAAGTGTAAGCCACAATCACCGCAATAGTGCCAAGACTACCATTTACTAAGCTGGCTAAAGCAAAATTTAACACATGTCACTTGAATAAACCAAGATTTCAAGTTAAATAGGGTCACGATTGTAACTAGTCTGAAAATTAATGTATGGCCTGTGTTTAAACAATTGGATGAATCAATCAACAAGTAAATTAACCAGCATCAACATTCATCGTATTTGTTAATATTTTTTTCTAGGTGTTTTGCCTAAAGCGGCCTGTGATAATCTTCGTGGAGAGTTTCTGTCGGGTACAAACGCTTTCGTTGACGGCACGATTTATGAAGCCGTTTGTTGATCGATTAATTGTGCAATGGAGGCCGCTGCACGAAAGCTACAAGAAAGCGACACGATACCATGGACTCCTTGTGTGATTCGGTGGAGAGCCTTCAAGTCTAACAACCGGGGGCGCGTCTTGCGGTCCCTCCATAACGTCAAAGGTTAGGAAATTACCTGTTCCAGCCTGGCTGTCTACGTCATGCTCAAACCAATGGCCAAAATTAAGGAGATTTATTTTTACCATGACATTATTTATTAGAACGGACAGTGCCTACGATTATAATTCCTGTTTTTTATGTATGTGTACACATTAAAATGTGATAATAAACGTAATGTTTTATATGCTGCCTATTTACTTTAAATTTAGACGTTTCTACGATATATTTCATAAGGCCAATCTATTTCTTTTAACACGAAATATTCACGATAATTACTGCCATAAATCCCCTACCAGTAGCAGCTTCCAGTAGAATAAGTAAATAAAGCTGTTTCAATTGCAAAAAAAAAGAAAGAGAACCGTAATATTTGTAAGCGTTTATATATTACTCAGTTCCCTTCTCCTTCATAATGAGGAACTGTATTTAGGGTTTTTTCGGTTTCGCCATCCAGCTCAATTCTTCGCCCATTATGAATGTATGCTATTGCCGTTCCTTGATTGTCGGCAAATTCAAAGTTCTTGCTCAACTGAATGGCCAATTTTGAAGCCACGAGGCCAACTCCACCTTGTCGAGGTGGTCCTCGGTGGTAAACCCGGCCATTTTTCGCTACCATGCAAAGCGTTTCGGGCTGAAATGGCACCTTGAAAAATAGCAAAACATTTTGAAGCCGTACCGCCAGTACCAACCATTCCTTTGGTCATCCATTAAAGATAGCTAACTGAAACTGCAATCAACTGGCTCTACAGACAAATTTTAGTAAGTTTTTCTTCGAGAAGCTTAGATAACTGCCATAATAATAGGGAAATTGAAACGGTAAATTTTTAAGAGCTGTTAAAAATCAGTTCCATTGTTGCCTATGTGGCAGCAGCATATTCTCTCCAAATGTATTTCTCTTCAACACAATCCGGTTACACCAGTTATGTTCACTGGCACAATAATATGTTTAAGATCTATGCGGATAATGAATCGATTCGTCTTTGCTTTGTGTATCATACATTGTATTAATGATACGGAGATGACGCAACAATACGCCAGTACCATGCATACTATTTTGAGTTAACAAAAAGCTGCAATGGTAAAAACATAAAAATAGATTTAATCTTATAATATATCAAAACCTTCCTCATATCGAACCTGACGGAGCCGGTTGATCGATGGCCTTCTTGAGCAGTTCTCTTTACTATGATTAAGTGTTTATGAGACATTACAATGTCTGTCAAGAGAGAATAGAATAGACAGAATGAACAAATTGAATCCAGCTTCTCGAACTCCACGCATCAGATATAACATCAAACTTCTCAAACTTTTTAAAAAATAGTTTAATATCTCTCTGTCATTGAAGTCGATCATGAAGTTGTACGAAATGGGCCTGAGGAAACGACTCAGTATTGCTGGAAAGTATTAGTATCATCACGTTGCTCACTTGCTTGCTTTTTCTAGCAGTCGATATGGATTTTTGAATAAGCACCAAGGTCAGTTTCACCTCGAAATAGCTGAATAAACTTGAAAAAGAAACACATGAGAGTAGTGAGCGAGGCAACGAGAGCCCGGACTAATTGATACAGAGAACAGGGCCCCCGGTGTACTACGACTATGACTAAGCCAAGCAACGAATGACTTGAACAATGAAGCGGGGTCAATGGAAACAGTCCAATAGGAGAAACCCAACGGCTGGCAAACAAGAAGCTGTGACAAAGTAATAGAAAGAGTGCGGCGAGCTTAACATGAGTAGCGTAAAAACCTGAGACTATGGTAAAAGCTGTGTTCGAATCTTCGCGGGTTACAGAGCAGGGATGTCGAAAATTAAAATGTTCATGACGAAGTATTCTAATGGCAATGGCATGAGATGTCGTACGTGGTAAGGCAATTGAAGTTTATTATAGTGGTAGAAATGCGAATCACAAAAGACTCCATTGAGAGGAGTCTAATGTACCGCTTGGTCATTTTTTTTTAATAGAAACTCAGAGCTTCGTAGATGCTAACAGTAATAAGCACGCAGCCCGGAAAATACATACATGTGGCGCAGAAACAATACAATGCGAGCCAAAGAATATGCAAACAATAGTTTGGTAATGGATACCCGCTACGCAGACATGCATAACATAACAAAATACTCTTTATACAAACGGAGTTCTAGTACGTACATTATATAGAACCTCGTCAGAACGTACAGATAGCCACTTAGTGGTGATATTTACAAATATTACAATAATTATCATTTCTTTTATTAACCAATTATAACGATTATCTGTTATTATTACAATTGTATCAGGGTTCCTACCTGTAGTCGCGTACCAGCATGGTTATGCAAAAGAAGATTGTGTTCAGGCAGCAAGTGAGTGAACACGATTGGAACATCATCACAACGAATATAGTTCATCTCGACCCCACAGGGGCTCACGTACGGAAATTCATCCTGATTAAAAACAGAAGATTTAATAAGAAGTGCCGCATAGCGGGAAATCATGCTCGAAGAAAGAAGATCTATTTTTTGTTATTTTTATATTTTTGCTATCTACCTTGTTTAAATAATTTCTTGAAAGTGATGGAATGATTATGTAAAAAAGTAATCGTAATAATCAAGCGTTTGACAAAGTATCAACTATGTAAGTGGTTATTCATTTACTGGCATTCTACAGTATTTCTACATCCCTAGTCACTAAACTTTGTTATCGTACCTACTAGTGTAGTGAAATAACGCAAGACTTAAGAGACATCAGAATGGTGCATAAATATCTGAAATATCTAGCTTCAATAAAAGCGTTGATTTAATGAAAATCGTTCATTTCAGCCGCACCTGATAAAATCCTGTTTTGTTGAGTTGAACCCGTGTAAAGAAAAAGTGCAGGAACTTATGTTCTTTAAAGCACGATGTGAAATTTTTCATACGAGCATCATCTAGAAACAGCATCCCCTGATGATCGACCATGTAAAAATATTCTCGCTTGTACTTTTTACCGGCTTGTCCTTGGATGTAAGTAAGTGATCGCCAAAAGGACGGCGCGCAGCTTCCAAAGATCTTGGGTTTACTGCAATATCTAGGGTGAGATGATTCATATATTAGCTCAAAGATAGATTCGTTTCCGTTTTAATGTTTTTTCTTTGATAGTAGAAGCAGATCTATTTCCTATAGTTCCTTGAAGAATGACCATAAGTTAAATATACGATCGATATGTTCGCTTTCCTGCCTCCGTTCATAATGAACTCTTTCAAAACCTATACCCAGTTTTCTTTGCGTAAATTTCAAAAAAATTCATTTTTGGATTAGGTAAAAACTAAGCTAGATTAATTCATTGTCCTGATAAGAGCGGGCAACCAGTTGTGGAATAGTGTAGCTGCGTCCTGTGTGTTGATTTTTTTTACTATATACAGTTTACAATTATGTCTGTTACGCTTTCTCAACGAATTTTGCCCTTGATTCATGTCCTAACGGAACCTAAGCGAGCACTATGTTAAAACCACTTGACTACCATAAATTGATCATTAATAGTGACCACATATCCGCAACTACGCAATTTTCTATGTGCCCCTTTATTGAAAAAAGAAAGAAGCTCCCAGTGTAAGGCATTCACGATTGTTAAGCCTGATTGTTCTAAAAGATAAAATTCTCTATTTACATATTTGTATATATACCACACGTAAACATATTTCACGTATTTAGTAACGCCTAAGCGAAACTTATGCGCCGATCGAGAGCTCGACACACGAGAGGGCTGTATTTGAACTTGTTCGTGTTCATGTATGCATACATACACATACGCCGGCCGTCACTTGAATGACACTTACTGAGTAGACATAGGAATCCAATTGAAGGAGCGTAAAGTCCATTTTGGGACAATAGCCCAAATCATCGTCGTAAATTGTCTGCTGTCTTGATTTTCTAACTTGCTAGGTTTTAATAGAATGGGACCAATTTATTTGGGATTTTTTTGTATTATAAATTATTAGACTAATATATACATCCACTTGGTGGAGCTGTAATTCACTAGCTTTCTTAAGCAATATCTCTGTATGTTCCGCAATTTTCGCAAATCAGCCGGGCGGCTGCATCAGCGGGCTAAGCGCAACGCGTAGCAGACGACACTCCGTGACAATTCATCCTGCGTCGAAAAGCCTGGGTTAAGGCATTAATTAATGTCTGTTAATTCGTTTCTAATTATATCTGTCGACATAGCAAATTAATAACACTCTTGAACGTCTGTCAATTTGCTATCCCAAGATGAAACGCTGTGTGTAATTATCAAACTTTCAATAACTTCACAATAGCTTTTGTTCGTAGAAAACTAAGCTCCGCCCCAAGACCCCTTCCTTTGAGCACTAGAAACTGAGGTCGTTTCTTATACTGTAATCTCTCGCCCCTTTTGTTCCGTCAAAAAGCTGTATAAGCAGTGAGGTAACAGGTTCGATGTGTGAGGCCCGGTTCTTGAATGAAGCATTCTTCGTGACGCATTTTTTTCGACCATAAGCTGAAGATCAAACATTTCGCCAAAGACCACCTTAAAAGGTACTCATAAATTAGCAAAACAAATAAATAATTAATACATTAATCGTTCCTTACAGGGTGAACAATACACCTGTGGCAGTAACAAAGGATGCTTTGTTCTGAAGCGCGCGTTCTATGCATTATGTTCTTGGCAAACGCTACAGAAAATGCGGAAAGATCCCTGCAGTGGCTACAAGCGTCATTACGTAGCTTTTTTTATTAATTCTACTAATTAATTTATTGACTGTTTGTATTTCCTTGATTCATTTTTTCACACAATTTCAGCATTTCACTAAACGGGAAATATGCAGAACTTTCGTTAATACGTTTACTAGATTTAACCCTTTAGACTCAATCATTCTCCCTTAACATCACCACCCCATTGCGAATCCCTCACAGAGCAGTAATTTCAGATCTTCAGGCTTAATGTAGCTAGCCCTTCGAGTCAATACCTTTTCACTAGTTGTATCCAAATAGTGGCGTTTTTCATTTCCACGATTTGATCACACTGTAACATAGGTGTCTAGCCTAACCTAGCGATTTGGCCATCCACACATGAAACGGACGAGTCCATACGGAGTCCTGTCTCACATAAACGTTACGTCTGCAAATCGTCTCTAAGTCTGAGTTGTGTCTATTTAGCTTCAGCCTCAACCCTGCTGAGCCTCGCGCACCTTCGTCGCACTAAATGCTCCCTCCCTCCGCCCCCATGTAACGCGGTGCCTCTCCAGAGACCACCGCAGCATTTAACACTTTCATGGCAATCGGCAATCGCCGGCAGAGAAAGTTGTCCCATGTTTGACGTCTACTCACTTGCTGTTCAGCTGAGTTATTATTGTTAGACGGTTCTGACAATGTCGGCCCCAAGTCCCTCATGCTCTAAGGCTATGAGGCACGCAAACTTCTTCTTCTCTACGCCATCACTGCTGCTACTCCCGCAGCTTTTATCGCGGTCAGACCAAATGCGTATTAGCCCTCCCATCGCTTCACCATTCGGGCGGGTAGTATCAGCTGCCAGGCCGTTTCGTTCGTCGCTGTTTGGACTAACGACGACGGCGGCGGCGGCGGCGGCGTTGCTGCTCCAGTTGGAACTGTAGCGGCGGCGGCGGCGGCGGCAGGGGCTTCGGCAGCGGTAGCGGCAGCAAAAGCAACGTGCAATCACCTCGACAACAGTTCCCCTAGCAATCCGCCATTGCAAGCGCTGTCGTACACAGCACCACTGGCAGCATCTGTAGCTGCAGCAGCGCTGCCGCCACCGCCACCGTCCCCGCCGCCGCTGTTGCTGTTCAGGTCAGGCGAAACATTGCCAGCCGCGTAATGGTTCTTTGGTTTCTGCCTGACAGGGCAACAGCCTTTAAGGAAGCGAACTGGCCGGCGGTGAGCAGCCACTGATGGTGTGTGTCTGCGCGTGACGTCACCGGCTAACCATGAGCCAATAGCGGACCTCTCCCGCGAGCCGTCGGCCAATCAGCACCCGCCACCAGGGGACTCGCCATAGCGAGCATGCGAAACTGTGTGTGGTGCCTGCCAGCGACCGAGCCCTGTGGTGAGTGCCATCCTAGAGCTTCGATAAAATTATCCACAAACCAACTCGGACTCGTCGGCCGGTTCCTGTTGGCAGTCGACTAAGTCGGCCCAGAGGCCGAGCATTCGACCGCCCGCCCGCCCGCCCGCCTGCCAACGAGTCAGGCAGTCGCGTGCAGTGCCATGCCGTGTTGTGCCGTGTACCACTGTGTTGTACCATACCCACACTCGGTCGCCGCGAACTGCGCGGATGGCGAACAACGGACGGCCTTGGATTTGCCGCCCAGATCCAAATCGGCCCTATCCGACACCGATCAACTTTTGCCTGTCCACTGTCCCCCACACAGTTCACAGTCCACTCGACGCCAGACCATCCTTAGTCGTCGGTGACCAAACGACGCCTTTTGCATGTAGGCTGCGACTACAGACCAAGTAGCACGACCATACTCCGGCTAGTGACTGGGTCTGATTGCAGAGCTGTCCTGCTCAATTCAACCGGTTCAGACAGACCGATATGGGCCGCCGACCCGATCCGTTACGCTACAGCTAGTGAACGAATCGCCTCGAAAGCAACTGCCAGCATCGCCAGTCCTAGCGTTACGGAAAGATCTGCTGCAACCGCTCCCTCTCATAGCATTTAGTGCCTCCTGGTCATATCAACAACAGTGTACGCCGCTTAGGAGCGTAGTGCCGCCGTCTATTGTTGTATTACTAAAATAATGCTACATAATCTTATGATGTAACTTTGCTTTATATCTATACGTGTCAATCGTGATTCACTGGCTTCAATTTAAGCACGACTAAAATAACTACCTTGAGCCGATACTCGAATTAAGTGCCTCTACGATTGCAGCTTGATTTGTTTAGCGTACTTGTTGTTTTCATATGTCATGAAGATTATTCCGCTGCAAATCCCTCTACTAGTCACGTAATACTCTGTTTATACACTAGGGACGAAACAGGCGCTACGTTTTTTTCGTGGCCGTGTTTTCTTTTTGTTGTTGTTGGTGTTTCTGTTGTTGTTTCCGTTCAGCCACAGATCTGCGCCTTGTGCGCGTCTGTAGCAGAAGCAGCTGGCCGTCTGCTGTCTGAGCGCATGGTCTAATGGCGCTCAGCTCCGTCGTCGAGACATTCACTGTCACAGGCGGGGTTTGCTGCCACTACAGCGTCCGCTGTAGCCAATACTGCACCGGGTGCGGGCGCAGAGTCGCGTTACGTGCAAACAAACGAATACAACAAAATCGACGTCCTTGACTCGTAACTAGACCGTCTGTCTATTCGCTCGGATGTTACCGCGCAGTACAACGCAAAGCCACTCGAAATCGCCGGAGATTTGTGGCTTGTTTCGACTGCGGCGGTCAAACGACGAACCATAAAAATCGGCCCTGGATTAAAAGCGGTTCCGCGCAGGGACTGGTGCGTCACATATGAGACACAATCCAATAGTCCATCATAATTCTGGATCGAAATGATAGTCGTGCTCTTTTGACAGTGGAGGTTACGAGGCGTGGGTAACCTGACGTACGGTGTACACACGATCGATTCGGTAGATTGTGGATTTGATAGTGGCGGAGTGGCCTATGTATCGGTGAACGACTGATAGGGTCGAATGTAGGGATATGTCTTTTGATTCGTTCGAAGCGTCTGAGTTGTTTTGGTCAATGTCGAAAGTTCACTTGAAGAACAATCGACTAGCCTAAATAGCTTTTCGTAATGGAAATAATCTCGGAACTAATGAATAGCAGAATTTTTATATTCCTGTTAAATCTTTATTTATCTAGCCGCATAGTTAGACAAGTAAAGGAGTATTATTTTCACACTCATTTCAATGTATGCAAGACACTCAATCAGACAATGCCAGTTGTTGGCGTGGGAGCACACTCGCCTGCTTGTGGGTGTCACCACAAAGTAAAGCCGACAACTTACTGTGAAGTTATTTTTCTATTTAAGATTTGCAGCTATTTTGCCTACTTGGACCTTTATACTAGATTTCTATAGACCGTCTGAGCGATCAGCCAGCTATATTCGTTCCTATATTATTGTTTGTAAATTCATGTCCATTTGCCCCTATTCACCTTATAAAAAAAAAAACGTCTACAATAACCCTTGTTCACAGCTGAAAAAAACAAAAAATTTGTCTGAACCACCATCATCCACCTGATACTCCAATACAGAAAACTGTCTTAACTTAGTCTGTCGCATTAAGTCGAGCTCGTTTAAGTTAGGCAAGTTATTTGATTGACTTGTGTCCTCTCCGTGGTGTTCTTTGGACAGCTATTTGTGTACTAAGTACTGGCTGGGCCCTATTGGTCTTATTTTATAGACGATCGTTAATTAGGACTATAGACCCGTGTAACAGGTATCTCCTCTTCTACCAATGAAACGTTATACGCGCACAGACGTCCGGCAAATTGTGTTCACTAACTTCCTATCTAACATAAACAGCAACACGCTAGTCGCTGGCCATAGCCTCAAAATGGCTCCGTCTTCTCTCATGCAGCCGTCGGATATGCTCCGGCGCGTCCTGTCGACTGCATCGATGATGCAGTCAACCATTCGTTGTTTTTCCGGTAGCGGCCATTCTCCAATAATAATAATGGTAACCCATCATAGCAGCACATACAAATGACGCAAGGATATGAAGATGGATATCGATATTGAGAGTGAAAACAAAAAAAGAGGAAGGGTATCAGAGTATCGCGACCCGATCACGTCGTAACTGGGTCATACTGGCCATGCCCTACAGCCTTGGCCAGCTGCGGGGCGGCAGGGTGATTGACCTATTATACCAGACACTGTCCTCCCTTGCCCAAATTTACGACTTTTCAACTGCTTATGGACACAAAGCTATTAGCTGGTTACTAATTAGAACACATATGTGGTTTCTTCCTCTTCACATGCGATCTCGCTCAGAAAACAGCGCTATTTACCATAGTTCTTGTTGCTATTGTCATCCTTTATTAACACCGAACTTAATTACCGTTAATGCGACTTCTTTGATTGTCTCTCTTCTTTTAATGTAGTCTGCCGTCTTTCCATGAAGGTGTTTGTAACGTCGGTTAAATGCCGACTCGGTCTATGTATGTCAATTAGATTTCGCTAGTTGATAATGTTGGTTGATCTTGACAACGAATGGACGACTGAGTTGATGGTTCGACCGCCTTAGCCGACTGGAGATACGAACGAGGACGTCATCAGGACGTTAGCCCAGGATTGACTTGAAGTTAGATCATTTGCCACGAAACTAGATAGATCTCTCTAATGTAATTTTCAAATAAAAAAATCCGTACATGCATATGATCTCGTTGGTCACGCGTTATGTCGCACAGTGAACGAGCGATCCTTTTCAAACCGATGTGATAGGGCAATGTCGTTGAAATCGATTGAAAGCAATGTTGTACTTACAGAGACAGACTATGGATGGCTTTAGGTCGGTCAGTGAGCTTAATCTTTCCGTCGCTATTTTTAAGTCTGCTCAGATAACTGAAAGGCAAAACCAAATATTATAACGATCAGATAAAACTTGTTCTTCCAAGTCTTCACTAGCTCAAAGATCGTTTAAATTTGTTTACTCACGCCAAAGCAGATTGATCATATTGTTGTATCAAAGTAGGATGGCAAGAAATGCTAAAAAATCTTAAAATAAGCAGACAAACTTTAGAAAATTATACCTGTTTACTAAAGATATTCCATTCAGAAAAACTTGTTCGCATAGACTGAAGCAAAACGCCACGCCAATTCATATGCTGTAAGCGGTGCGTCCTCGGCTGCATTGTCTCCTGGCGACAGGAGTCTACTTGGAACGCCGCATAATATAATCATCATACAAGCACATCGACAAGTTGTCCATGATTATGAAATTGAAGTACTAAAAATCGATTTTGAAGAAGTATCTCTTTGAACAATAACGGCTAATTAGTACTACGCAGCAATCCGCGGACTATGATGCCTTTTTACCATCAATATCATTACGATGGTCTTTATAGCCACAGCGATACATTGCATAACGGTAAGGGATACCCAGCGGAACTCTTGCCCGCGCTGTTCTTTGACTGGTTTAACTTTACCGCTAACGCGATCTGCTGATTAACGCCGGCGGTATCGCAGTTCAATAGTTCGTTGTCGTGTGTGTTACTGGTGTAGACAATGATGACAAACAACAGCATCTATTCTGGATGCTCATACGCTGATCCTAGCGACCCAGTCAGCAGTCCTTCGTTCCATTCCATCGTCAACCGTGGATAGCGCGCCATAACCGCGTGGCCGTTGCCCTGACGATGAACTGAAATGACCCTTGTCCATCCCATACCGTCAGTACCAAAACCATGAAACTGAGAGCATTTTTGATGCTGGCGTCTTCCAGAAAAAAATTATCAGGTCTATCATAATCTTCATCGCTCATGCGATGATTTCAATGACGATGTTTGTTGTGTTTTCACCAGAACATAGACAAGCACTCGTTTTGGCGCTCGTTGTCTGCTGCTCCTGCTATCGCTGCGACGATGGCGTCTGCGCGCTTGTCCCGTGCTTTAATAAAGCTCACAAATTCTCTTTTTGACGGCGGCTATCTTGGTTCGTAGGTCCTCGTGGGAGCATGTATATATATGTGTATAAATATGTATATGCTTTTGATGTCGTCGTGGTTCGTCGTTTATCATCGATAACTCTCTTGCGTGTGTGTGTGTATTCCAGTTAGCTTTTACTTAGTTTTTCTTTCTCTGTTTATATATCTGTTGCTCAGTGTTGTTAGTTCCTCATTATTGCTGCTAACCCGAGAGCAACAACCCCAGCACTAGTCAGATTTTCGACAATGCTTCCAGCTACAATTCGTCGCGTTATCTACGGTAGGGGGCGACACTATCTAATCAGGCAGTTTACAAACAAACAATGGCCGGCCGGATACTGCGTAGACATCCAGACGCGCGCAACTCTACCGTTCAGTGTCGAAGATGCGTATTTAGCACTTTCTTTTTGTTAGGAAAAACAATGTGTACACCTCAGCATCATCAGCAGCAGGAGCACTTTAGCTCAATAAGCGGCGATTGCTCACAGTCAGTCAGTGCGTAGTGACACTCTCATATAGCCTCCCCTTATAGACCCACTGAAGGCGTAGGGCTCGGCGCCGAACGCAGTTGGCGCCGCCACCGTCGCTGCTGCAGCCCATGGCGGCGCCACAGTCATCAGCGGCATAGCCACCGAGTTGTGCCCGTACTCCGTTTGGTACGTGCCACTGCGCAGCCGCCGAGCTCTAGATGACGACAACATGGACAGCGTCAATATCATCAAAAACATCAACTACGGCAACATCCGCCAATGCAGCAGCAGTAGCGATAAGTAGACGACCCAATACGAACGACCGCAGCGCACTCTACCCAATAATAATAATGGTCGTTGTGCGCTGCTGCTGCCGCTTCTTCTTTTTCTGCTGCTACCGCTTCTTCTTTTTCTGCTGCTGCTCCTGCGACCAGTCGGCCGGCCAGCCTGTTCTGCTGCTGCTTCCTCAGCTAACAACGCCAGCGCACCGACACAATGGTGATGGTGGTTGTGCCACTGACTCCAACCCGTTGCTGCTGCAGCCGCCGCCGCGGCCGCTGCTGCTGCTCCGCTATGTGCTGTCTTTGTTCGTGTGTCTCGCGACTTCGGGACCCTCACACGACTCCGACTCCGCCGCCGCAGCCGAACAACCACCGGCCGCGGCAACGGATCAGTAACAACAGCGACATCCATAGGTCGTAGCCACGACTGTCATTGCGAGTAGCGGCAGCGGCCGCAGCAGCGGAGGCGGCGCTGCGATCGTATGCGATGATCCAAGATGGCGGCGGTGAAAACATCCGCCACCGTGCAGCCCCGTTTCAGCAGCAGCAGCAGCAACAGCAACAACGTCGTACTCGTACAGCATAGGTTAAACGCAGCAGAGCCTTCTGTTGTTGTTGTCACATAGGAACATAGATTGACCGACTGGCTGCTCTCGGTCGGTCGGTTGGTGTGTGGCGCTAGCTGTCTGATGTAGTCGCCACAGCAACAAAGGCTGTGTCCTACTATGCTATCTATGTAGATAAAGTGTCTGCTGTTGGTGATGCTGTTGTGTGTGCTTGTTGTCTACGGTCCGCCGCCACCGCTGCCGCTGCTGCTGCGTCTCCACCAATCATCGTTGTCGCATTCGTTGTTGCTGCTGGGAATGGTGTCCGTTGTTGTTGCTGCTGCTGCTGCTGCTGATGGTAGTGGCTGGACTGTTGAGCTAGTTAGTGAGTGTATTTTGCTAGCGCTGGAGCTATTATTGCTGCTACTGATATTACGGCCATAGACGACGGAGATCACTGGTAGATCGCTCTCCGTGTACATGTGCATGTATGTATATGTGTACATATATATGTTTATATAGAGATGAATGTATTTTGATGTGATGCGTGTATTCTGCAATATCGACAGTGAGTAGATGAGTGAATGTTACGCAACTGGATGATGTGTGTTGACTTGAGACACGAACTGGGGAAACGGCAACGACTAGCGACAAGTGAGAACGACGATTATAACAACAACGACGACGAAGACAAACACAAACCTGCTGCTGCTGCTGCTGCTGCTATTGCTGCTGCTGCCATTGATGCTGCTGTTGTTGTCGTCCGTGTAACTGTTGCCATTGCGAGTTCTGCTTCTGATGTTAGTTAGTGCGAGTGGTGAGACCAGCAACCGCACGAGCGACAGGGATTTTGCCAGGAGTCTATCTGTCCTGGTCCGACCGTTCGTCTTCGCCGACTCCTATATATATTTCGTCGATTCGCCGAGCGGATAGGACCGAACAGTGGGAACAGCCAGATTAAACGCTGTATGTTGACTGAAGAAGATAACAAAGCGCCATAGCAGTTGTCCACCACGGCCGTTTGATGCTGCTGTAGCACTAGTAGTAGTAGTAGTAGTAGTACTAGTAGTAGTAGTAGTAGTAAGAGCAGCAGCAGCAGCAGCAGCAGCAGCAGTAGCAGTAGTAGTAGTAGCAGCAGCAGCAGCAGCAGCAGCAGTAGCAGCAGCAGCAGCAGCAGCAGCAGGAACTGTTCCTGTCTGTACACCCCTACAGTTAGGCTAGATAAAGCCGAGCTGATCAGGTTAGACAATTATAGTTGTGATACGGTGCTGCGGTCGAAGTTCAGCTCCACTCGTCTGAATTGACTTAGGTTCCGTCTCATCCCGACAGAACTGCCAGTATAAGCCGTCGCCGTTTTGGACAGGATCAGAAATCAGGTCGGATCACCGAGAGACGGCGGCGGCGGCAGCTGCTGCCGCTATTGCAACGGGACAGCGACAGCTTTATGAGTCCGGTACGAATGCCAACAATAGCGATATTAACGACGGCGATACAAAGATAGCAGTAGGGGGCAAGATGCAGCGAGCGATCTTGCAGCTTTTGCGGCGCCTCTAATGCTACTGTCGCCGCCGCCGCTGTCGTCGTCGTCGTCGTCGTCGTCGCCGTCGCCGTCGCCGCCGCCGCCGCCGCCGCTGTTGCTACTGCGAAGACGACAACGGGACGAAAAGCGGCCCGAAAGCGGAATTGCTTGTGAACAACGTTGCGTTTCTTGAGGAATGACCTGAGTTTTATTGCGCTGCTCAGGACGCTGTTACATCCTGGCTGGCCAGGATATCAAATATATCTTTCATTATTGTTTGGTGCTTCAGCGGTTTGTTGATGGTTAATTCCAATTCGCGCATTAATAGATCTCTTCTGAGGCTGACCGAAGCTCGTGCACTCGTTATGGCGCTCGAGCGGGCACCATAATAAGCGCTGCGATATTATGAATTCGGGTGCGTGTTATGTGCTATAGATTAGGTGAGGTGCTGGTCTTTGGATCTTGATCGGTTACTAGTTCAGTTGGTGCCTAACGGTTTGCCTTGCTCGTCTACTCAACACCAGCTTCATTTACAATGAAGTGCTGCTTGACTAACGAGCAAACCCCATCCGTCCTCCCGACCCTAATCGCTACATGTGAATGCTAAGCGGTACATTGCTAATATCGAGCGCCGGTCGGGCGAACGCTACGAAATTCCGTAGCGGCGCGAAATCGTTGCCCATTTCGTACTTCTAGCGTACTCCTAACTGTGCTAGGTCGCGAGTTTCACGGTGGTTTTATGTGTCACAGTGTCCATCGCGGATGAATAATAATGCTTTCGAGTTGAATGGAGTGTTGTTCTATTACGGTTGTTTTTTATTTATAGACTTTTGGCATATTTATCTGGCTATGAAGAATCGGAGCTCGTTTAAGAGTACATTGAGTACTATGTCGAATGCAAGAGTTGTTTACAACACTTGCGTATCAGTCATGATGTAATATTATTAGTTTGTCTGGGTGCTTCTTGTAATTCGAACGTCATCCTTCAGTGATTTGGCGGGTGTACAAGCCCGCGAAACTAACAAAAACCTCGATCCTTAGCTATACTTATGGTAACTTTCTATCACTGCTAAATGCATTCGAATCCGTTTGCCTCACACAGGCCTATTCGCCTGTTATATAATAGCCGTATATGCCCATTTTAACTCATCTGTTCCTTGTCGATATCAGAGAACAGCACAGAGAGGGTCAACCGCGAAGATAACCGCTCACTCAGCCAGAGCCAACAGGGTCAGCTGTTGGCAAGCTCGAATCCGAGTCGGCATCACTTGCAATATGTATGTGACGCTATAAACCGTAAGCAACGTGCGTTAGCAAACAACAGTGAAAACTCTGAACCCGCCTGTTCGTCCATACATTTCGTCCGTCCTTGACGCCAAGCCAATTTATTGTTGATCTTCCACTTGATACTGTTGACGCGGCAAACGCGTGCTAATCCTGCGGCATCTGTTAAATGCTATTTGTCCGTCCATCTGTCAGTGCAACTATCTGTCGACGGGAGAAACAGCTCCTGACCGCTGAAGCGAGTGACCTCAAGACGTACCGGCGCCATCGCGGCGATCAGCCACGCACAAATGGCCTCAAACCACCATAATAAAACTGGTCGTGTAATAGCGTAGCGGCGTATCGGAAGCTGAAGCCGTCGGCGGAACAGTGTTGAATTTATATCGTTCTGTATAACGACACCATCTGCAGCGACTGCTGTTAGAGTTTCAGACCTGCAGGTTTTAACAGATCGGATCTGCCAGCGGCACTGACCTGACTGATCGTTCGTTTCCTAATGGTAACAGAGACTTGCCGACGACGATGTCCGCTTGAACGGGCGAATGACCGATTGAGTCCGTCAGCCGAATAGTGTGAATCTGTGCTGATATGCCTCTTAGCTCTGTATGTATATGTGCTTTGGTCACGGCCCGCCTCGTCCGTCAGAGTCGCGAGGGGTCGTACAGTGTGGACGGGGGTACGGCTGTTATCTGAAACAATGCCCAACGGCAGCATTGGGACGTAAAATTCGAAGCATTAATTAGGTAGTGCAATTGGCATAATCCACTATGTTTGTTCACGTTATATCCACACTACTTCCCTGAGAGGTGAGACGTTTTGTCGCATCTCTTGCTGTTTTGTCGTCCTCTGGCAATGAAGGGCAGTGTCGATTTACTCGACTAGAACGAGAGCTGGACCAAGTTCGATTTTATCCACAGAATGAATAGGTGGTAAATAGCTTGACTGAATAGAAGTGTGATCTTCGTCTGCTGTGTGGGCGAAGGATGCAGCCGGTAGAGAACAAGATCTTGGGGACTCTTCGACTCGTTTTCCTTATCGTGTTCTGTGGGATCACAATACTCCTCGTATTAGTTAAGTGTTGAAAGAATTTTGTAATAGAATATGAAACAGCACATAACATCTGTGGGGTCGGCAGGATACGACGCTTTAGAAAGTCTTTCGCTGCTGACTGTTTCGTCGTTGAGTTCAGCTCTGAGGGACGATGTCAGCCAGACATTTTCGCCTGTACTTCGGCATCTGTTGTGGCCATTTGTGTCGACTCTGTTAGGTCGCATTTCTGCAGGTCATTGCATAGATATGTGTAGAAGTAAACACCAAAGAGATTGTCGGAGAGGGTGCGTGTGCATGTGTATGTGTTATATCCTTCAGCTTGAACCTTGATCAGACTCGTGCTAGCAATTATAAAATACGTTTTTCTTCTAATTAAGGGAAGACGGTAGTGTAACCATACGTTTCATCGTTTCCTATGACACCTTAATCTTTGTTAATTCACTTTCAGAAGCAGAGCGTCATACATAAACAAACAAAGGAAAAAACATAGCCAGCCAGGCAATCAGCTGTGGCAAACGATACCGGGAAGACAGCCAGACGAATTAGATAAACCAATCGACAGTCGCATAGATGGAGAAACGGAGCGCAAGACAATAGGCCGTTAGTAAGACAGAGTGACGGCGTAAGAAGAGCATTCGATCACCAGTTAGCTCAGACTTCACGCGGGTGAACTCCCCCCGCGAGAGCAAGCAGTTTGTAGTGCTTCTTACGTGAGGATATTTCGGAATACACCAGCACAAAGAGGCATTCCTCATCCTTGACCATTGTCGTTCACCACCAGCTGAAATAAGCATGAGCATAGGACAAACGCTGGTTTGATTGTGCGGGGAAGGAACACATTGTCGTTCCCGCCCGTTAAAGCGTCGGTTGAACGCCCCGTGTTCGTTGTGAAAGATTTGTGCAGAGAAACAAACAAGTGACCCAAACGGAGTATTGAGGTGTACCATACAGTGACTTTTGTGAGGGTATAAAGCTTTCGATATGACATATACGTGGAAAATAGGATCACTATGTGTTCATGTTTATGAGCTGTGAGTTAGCTGTGAGTGCGCCTTGGAAATCTGCCTACAAGTTATTGAGTGTCGGATTGTGTTAATGATGACTGTATCGAAGGTTTAGAGAGTGGGGTTTATGCCTCCGGAACATGTCGACGACGGATTTTTGGACTGCGCCAAAAGCCAGGGCAGAAAAGCGCGGCTGGCAGAGATCTTCGTCATTGTTGTTCGCTTCATATCATTACTGTTATTTGAATAGGTCTTGGAAGTTAGTGCATGAAGAGAATCAGGTAGTTCGTAGCGTTATTGCACCTTTGTTTGCCGTTGTTGTTGCTGTTGCTGCTACTCATCTTCGATCTGCCACCTCCGTTTCCGATCGCGGTTACCAGAATTGCCATTATTACTACTTTCGCCGTCAGTCGTTAAGAGACTAATTTCTTATAGCGAGTTCTAAAAAAGTCGTGTGGTAACTAGTATAAAATCGGTGATGCTACGACCAGTAGGTCGTCTTTCGAACGGCTAGCAGAAGCAGCGTAACGCCACAGGGCAGACGAAGTCTTGCAAGCTGCGAACCTCAGTTAAAAAATACCGCATAGGACCCATAGGTTGTGACGGCTGCAGGTACATCTGCAGCAGTCTGCTTCTGCAAATACCAGGAACACTTGGTAAGTAGCGACTTCTAAAACTGTCTTTTTGTCAAAAATTCATTCTTGGGCTTCATTGACACCGGTCTCATCTTTGCTCAATTATTGAGCAAATCTGATTGTGATTTCACTAAAATATTTTTGTGATTGGGCAGGAAAATCCCTTGTTCCAGACTTCAGCGATATAAAGTTCCTTTATTTTAACGCACATGCGTTCCCACTCGAATGCGACTAATGAACGTAGCAAATAATAAACCACATTGAAGTCCATTTGTGGCATTCACGTATGTGCACAGCGGTTAAGTTTATTTCATTGTACTGTTACGCAATAATGGAGTAACTCTTCTCAAAGGCGTTTACTTCAAACGAATCCCCCCCCCGCCCTTTATGTAGTTTAATGTTTAAGGAGCGGTATGATCATTTGGCTTTCTGCTCTGTTTGGGTCTTCGCACCGCACGAAGAAACCTGATCTCAAAAAATGGAGTATAGTCGGTCACGGACTACGACGCACAACATAACCCTGTCTTATCGCTATTGTATCGAGTATTCGTCGTAGACATAGTAGCAGCACATATATACTCACCGGGGTAACGGTCGCTGAATCTCACGAAGTGCGCCATTTCGTCGATGGAAACTGTTCGATGTTACGTGCTGTCGCCGCCGTCTGTTTTGTGTTGTTTGATTGCTTTGCCATAAACCAGCAGTGTTCGTGGCTTTTTTTCTGGGCTGGTGACCTCAATATTAATAGCGGCGCCCCATCACTATGTCTGTGTTTGTGGTACACACTTTGCCTTCGTTGCAGCTTTTCGACGATGGTAACAGTAAGAAAATAAATTAATAATAAACAGTGGATTTTGCGATCGGGCTGGGTCGTTGGTGCCCTGTTTATGAAGCCCGACTGCACCGGATGGGAAAAAACATTAAAAATGTATTAGAACGTATATGCACTTTTGAATAAGTGCGTATTGTAAGAGTATTACAGAATTTTTTTTAGTTATTCGCAGTTACAAAACGGAACTCTGAATCATCATCGATCCCTCGTGCGTTTCATGAAAAAAATTCAGCTCTGGAGACTTTTTGTTTTGACAACTTATCAAAAAGTTTCTATAATATCGGTGAAATATTGTCAGAGGAAAGCTTTTCTTTGGCTGTGGGTCGTTAGAAAATCTGAAATTAACTAGCAATGTAAAATTTTGAGCTGTAGGCAAATCCTGCGAAATACAAAACCTCCGCTGATTGGTCTGCAAATCGATATAGTATCCCATCCAGTAGTTCCTTATTGCATGCCTTGGTCTAATAATAGAGAAAATAGTAGAATCCAGCTAATTTTAGAAAATAATAAACAAGAATACAGTGTGAAAATAACATTATATATATAGGTTCAAAAAAATATATAAGTAATTTTACCGAAATCGAGTACATCCTGAACCATCCTTGAAACTAGATTTGGTTAGTGTACGCTTGCTCACAAGATCCTAGGCTGTTAGTAATATAGACGTTAATAATAAAATATTATGGAAACCTAAATGCCCCACCGTAATGACCGCCATAGCATGGTAACAATGACCCTTCCTCCGCTTACCTATCGTCAAACAATTTGCAACAGCGCTCTCATTGCCCACTATAAGCACGTACCATGTCAAAAATTCCATGCCACTTCTGAACGTCTCGGATGGCCGGCGACATTAATTAGTCTGACATCAATTCGTCATGTATGCGAGCGGGACTACCGATTACTAAAATTATTCATTAAATTTCAATGGCGCTACGATACTCAAATTCGAATTTGACCTTGTTTTTTGGCGGGTTACGTCGCTCGTTACCTTGTTTGACGGGGACATTTGCCGCTACATAAGCACACGCACAGGCGAAAGGGGCTGATATAGGTAACAGCAAGATGGCGGCATATAGCATAAGCAAAACGTAATGCAATCTGCTATTGTATTGCATCACTTCATTTTTCTATATTTTTGAGAAAAGTCACAATTGATTAAAGCAAAGAAATAGCGCTAATACGAATATTAGATGAAGGCCTAAGGACAAATTTAAGTACTCGATGGATAAATTACGATTTCTTTTGTTATTAGCTAGCGCGTTTACAGTTGGTAATGGAGACAGTATATTTTGGGCGTAGTGTGAATATATGTAAAATAGATTTTATCGTTCTGTGGAATGTAAGTTGCCTAGAGACACTACTATTTCCAGTTTTGTTTTTTGTTACTTTTATTAGCTGCACGATAATTGCTCTGTATACTTAGTAGAAACACAGTAAGCCTTTTTTAATGTTTTGTCGTCGATCGCCAGTTTGAAATCACTTCCGCGATACAGTGGAATGTACCTCTGTATTGTTACTGTTCTTTATTAGCTGAACTCCCAATCCTATAAACCGCATCTCCAAAAATTAAATTGAGCAAACTCGGAAAAAACAAGTAAGCTGCCAATTAAAATCTGACCTCTTTTCTAACTGTTTTTCACGGTTATGCTTCTTTTTTGTTCCTGTCTTATTGGTCGTCGTTATCGTGTGTCTATGACGTTTTCAGGCGCCCCAGTGGCTCGAGTCCACGCGGCCGCCCCTCTTCCGGGCGGCAAAGCCCGGAACGCGAGTCAGATAGGTCGGGCGGTGGGCGTCGTCGCTAGGAGGTCGTCGAGGGCGGCGTGGCAATTTGCCTCGCGCCCCCCGGCCTCTCGCCGCGACCCCCAACTACCGCCACCATAGATCCGCTGGCCAACCTGCTGTCCAGCTCTGGGTTGTCGTCAACCTCCGCCCCTTGCGCCCCCGTCGACCCGTCGCAATCCTCCGATGGCGCTCCGAACAGCAACGCCTCTCCTGGAGGTGGAGGCGGTGCCGGTGGAGGAGCTGGAGGTGGTGGACTCTCGCCGCCGACGCCGGCAGGTACCACGGCGACAACGAATAGCACGGCGGCGAGCACGCTGTCGCCAGATAACAGCAATCAGGCTAACGCAGTCGGTGCCGCCGGCAACGTTAGCCGTTCTAGCGAGGGCGTCCTCGTCTCCACTGGAATCGTCGGGTCTACTAAGTCGCCACCTGCGCTCGGACCTGTCCCAGGCCCATCCCAGCACGGTCTACAACAGCAAACGGTGCAAACAAACGCGGCTGCGACCCCCGGCGCACCAGCAACCTCTAGCGGAGTGTCCGGTGTTAGTTCTGGAACCAGTATCAACATCACGGCCCCAGCAGCTAACAACACGGGATCAGGATCGGGTACCAACAACAACAATAGTAGCAGTGGCACTTCCGGCAATGTGTCTGCTTCCGCAGGCGTTGGATCCGTTATCGATCCGTCGGACTTCGGGTCGGCGGCGCAGTTGCTTTTCCCCCCAGGCAGCAGCCTAGATATGGATGACGGGGGTAAGTGTCTGCTAGACGTCATCAATGATCCGCTGCTGTTTCAGTCGTTTTTCGAGGGCCGCGAAGATGCTGACGGTGACGGCCTGTCGGCTAACATGCTCGACCAACATCTTGAGAGCCTCGCCCACAGCACCAGCGTGACTACCACCACAAATGCCCTTGGTGGCAATCCACTCGTTGATGTTGGCGGCAACGCTAATGCCGGCGGTGGTGGCGTCGTCGTTGGAATGGGCGGAAACCTAGGAACCGTAGGACCCAACTCAGCGGGCGTTTCCCTTGCTTTGGGGTCCGCGATTGCCGCGGGTGGTATCACGGCTGCGGCCGCACTTAGACCGGTCTCTCTTGCAAACGGGGGGTTGAGCTGCCCCTCGCAGAGCTCTGCACAGTCAACGGGCTCGCCTGACGGTGCAGCGAACGTCCATAGCATAAGCAAGCAAGAGCGTCACGAACAACAGCAGCAACAGCAGCAACAACAGCAGCGACAACAACAACAGCAGCAGCAGCAGCAGCAAACGTCGTCACAACAATTGACGCAAGTGTCCGTTGGGCTCAGTTTCGGTAGACTGGACGATTTCAGTTTGCACGCGACCGGCGCGCAGATACCGTCACAAATTAATCTTGATCAGGTAAGTTGGTGTAAATCGGATGATTTTACAATGGGGGCGATATATATATATAAGGGTAATTGATTCACATAAATGATATTGCTTGCTGGTTATAATGTTTTAACTTCATAGGTGAAATTCAGATTTTCTGTGTTTAACTTTACCCCACTGAAAGGTTTGGTATTCGGCTTTTCGGCCAGTATCTGTTAATAAAATGTTCGAAAGATCTAGTGGACAAGAACAACTGGACAACAATAAAAGCTAGTTGGCAAGTCATCTTGTTTCTGAGGAAAATTTACCCTTACAAAATTGTCTCTTTTTCCTTCTTAATGAATATAAGTAGTTTCCTTGTCCCCATTATTTTTCCACCTACTGTACACCTAATCCTCTGATTGTTGTTGTTATTGTTATCGTTGACCCTTTTGCAGATTAATTTAAGACTCGACTCTAGCGCTCCGGGATTAGAAGCCCTGCAGCAACAGCTGCTTTCCTCGCCCGCGTACCAGGCCGGTTTAAGTAAGGCTTTCAACGATGTCCACCCCACGGCTACCAGCCACCCCCCGGGTCAAATGCTCTCAAATGGCCAATTGTCAGCTGATCTTGAAGGCTGTCTCAACGGCACAAGCGAATCCCCTCCAACAACAAAAGCGACACCAAGCAGCAATAGCAGTCCTAATACGACGACGAATAGTAACAACAATAATTCTTCTTCTTCTACGACATCAGCGGCTACGCCGGCCACAGCAGCGCTTGCTCACACCAGTGGCATCAGCAGTCACAGCAATAATAACAACAATAACTGTTCCACGACTAGTAATACGTTGAGCAACAGCAGCAACAATCCTAGCAACCAACTGAGCGGCCAGCAAAATCCGTCAACAACAGGATGCGGAAGTGTCATGGAGGTAGCTTCCCCCCAAGCGGGAACCGCACCACGTGCCTCAGTACCTCATCATCAGCCACCTCCGCCAACGGCGTATTCGCCGGCCCCTGGACCCGCAGCTTCGCCAGTGCTTCAGGCTGGGGGGCTTGGAGGGGCATCACCTGCTCCACCCCCATCGCCGGCCGCCTTAGCCACGAGTCAACGATCGACGCCCACGTTATCGGGTGTAGCGTCGCCTTTGATGGCTGGCTGTGTCAGTGGAGCGGGCCCGCAGATCGTGATTGCTGGCGGGTCCACGGGATCAGGTTCAATACCACCGCCTCCGCGGACGTTAACGCCGTCGCAATCTCCGCGTCTACTCAACGGTGGCGCGTCGACGCCAAACGGACTATCAGCGAACGCTTGCGGCGGATCAAATACGCCGGCATCAAACCCTGCTACACCCGTGCCATCAGTTACTTCGGACGTGATCACTCCCTCGCCAAGTCCCCACCTGCAGCAGATAGTTGTCGCGACCCAACCACAACAGCAACAACAGCATATAACACTTTCAACGACTCCAACGCCCCCGACGAGTTCACAACAGCCAACCTCTGTTGCTACAACGCATCAAATCCATCAACAACAGCAACGACAACAGCAGCTGCTTCAGCAGGTGGTGGCCTCTGTGGCGAGCTCAACTGCGACGACAACCCAGACCTCATCAATATCGGTTTCACCCGCCGGTCCACAGACGGGACAAGCCCCACAAATCATTCTTGGGCCACAACAGGCTGGCATTCTGCAGGCCGGTGGCTCAAGTACCATCTTGCTCAACCAGGCGATGCTGCAGCAACAGTTACAAGCAGCCGCCGCCGCCGCTGCTGCCTCGTCGGGGCACACGTTGGCGGCCACAGCTGGCGCAGCGGGTGCCGCCTCCCACCATCATCACTCTACACATCATCATCACCACCATCATCACCATAGTCAGTCGGCGCAAGCACAGCCTCAGCCATTGTTTGTGCAGTCGGTAAACGGCCAACTGCAGTTGATTCATCGGCCAGCAACGATGCTGCAGCCACAGCATGTGGCAGCTGGCACGGTCGGAGCTCCAAGTCAGCAGCATTCCGGAGGAAATGCTGCTGCAACAAAAGCAATCATGCTTGGCCACCCGGGTCAGCCGAGGCCGAATTACGTGCTCGCCCCGAAGCTCAACCCAGGCGGAGGGCTATCGTTCCAGCTGCAGCCTGCCTCCCCGCAACAACCCCAACCGCTATTGCTCCAGCCGCAGCAGATTAATCATGCGTCGCAGATGTCGACGATCCATTTGACTGGCCCTGGCCCCACGTTCGTGCAGATGGGCGCCACACCCGCGGCGGCGGGTCAGCCGCAGATTATTGCGACGGCCACGCCGCCGCTTCCTACAACGCCGTCCCCAGCACCTACGCCTATGTCCCAGACACCAAGTCCGGCGCCAAGCAATAGCAGTAAACCACCGACGCCCTCTGGCAGCAAGGAGGGCGGTGGTAAAGGCGGAAAGAATGCTACGGGCGGCAGCGGGAATAACAGCCAACAGCAACAAAACAAGGCTCGGCCAAGCGTCAATTTGGGCGACCTTCTCAAGGAGCACGGTATACTCGACGCGTCCCCGCCACCGTCGCCCACCCCACAGCCGACGCAACAGCAGGAAGCAATCATGGAACAGGCAGTACCGGCATCGGTTCTCGAACCGCCCAAGAAGTCAGCGCTTCTCGAGCGGTTAACGTCCGCACCTCCACCTGTAAGCAATTGTAACCTGTTAATACACCATGTTGTTTGGGCATGCGTTGTCATTAACATGGAACTAGCAGACGTCGAAAAGTAGTATCTATAGATGACCTATTAGCGATAATGTACTATCTCTTTCTTGTTAATTTTCTTTGGGGGCTGAACATTTTTCTTGATCGATTATTTTAGGCCTGGGGTGCTGGTCCACGACTTCCAGCTCTGGAGTCCCTTTGAACTCCACTACTACGGATTAGATATGCCTTAGTTGATGGGCAGCTGCTCCTGTACTCTAGTGTCGAAAGCTGGTTCCAAATGTTTAGCTAGTAGTGCCCATGCTTCTGTTAACCGATGACTAGATAGTTGCAATGCATACGAAGATGTAAACGAGCCTGGATCTTGAAAATGGTATTGAGAAAGGGAGAGAAACGGTGTTCTTAAGGAGTTTTTTGAACGAGACAGCATAGGCCATGATAAATTAATCGCACAAAACGTTTCATAGACAATCCTATCTGTTAACAAATTGCCCGTCATCAGATTTGTTCCGTAAGCAACCTTCTTTCATTTTGCGTTTATTCGAACAACAGACTCCACCGGCCGCGACGCAGAAGGTGGGCGTGTTGCAGATAAACGGGAATATGGTGCCGGTCGTCCTTCCACCCCAAGTGGCTGGTCAACTTCAGGCAGCAGCCGCCGCTGCCGCAGTCGGTGGCCAGCTGCAATCGCTACAGGTGCAGCACCATGGCCCTGGCGTGACGACCTCATTAGGTCAGGTCACCAGTGGCGGCAATGTAATTACTGTACAGACGTCCCCCTTCCGCCAACAGCAGCAACAGCCGCAATTAGCAGGTGTTGGTGCTCATCATGCCCAGCAGCTGCAGCAAGCTCAGCAACAACATATTCATCAAATGACTGGAGCAGCTGGTTCACTCCATCATCATCATCATCATCATCATCATAGCCATCAGGCACAGCAGCCACATCGGGGCCCACAGCAGCAAGAACAGCTGCAAATGTCTGCAGCAGGTGCGGTCCTTCCGAGTGCCCATGCTGTTGTAACGATGTCAACTGCGGCTGCGTCGGCGGCAATAGCAACCCATACGTCGACAATGTCCACAGCAAACATAACTATTAATAATAGTAACGTTAGTAATAGTACAGCCAAGAGCAGCCATAGCAGCACAGAGGTAACGAATAATAATAATAGTAATAATAATAATAATAATAATAATAATCCTACTAATCTTACCAATAGTGGCAGTAATATAAGTGCTATGCAGCAGCAACAGCAACAAACTACTGTGATTCAACCCGGAGCCCCTGGCCAACAGCCGAGGTAAGTGATGCACACTGGTAAACAAAGGAACGTAACTCATAGAATGAATAGGGTCAATAGAATGAATAGGATCAAACGTTAGAATCTACCACTGAAGCTGTTAGACTACGGCGTGCCTTTTGACAACTTCGAACATAATGCAGTTTTTTTTTTTGTTTCTAATAGCTCATCGTGTGTTGTGTTTATGTGGTTCGTTAATTTATCGTACGTATAGAATGAAAGCTATTGATGTATAAGGCAGGTGTGTTTTTTTTCTATTAAAAGTCTGTAGAACGAAACGTGTTAGCTCTTCTGTGAAAATCATTTGAGCTAGTCGACTATGGTGGTGAGAGACGAGTATATCTGGTCTTATACACTATCTGTAATATGAATAGCCAGTATTCGCAAGAAGGGCTTCGGTGTGACAATCATACATGCATGATTTTGATTTAGGCTTGCCTCGACTGTGCACATCGCCAGTACTAATTCTATGTTATCTATCTGTTATTGTCGAATTCTACCGTGTTGCCCCATTATGTACCGGAACAACTATCAACAGAATGGTGTATCTGTCCGGCAATGCGGCTATCGGCGAGGGCGGTAAGGTGGTGTCGTTAGTGGGTGGGCAGATTCAACAAGTGGGTTCGTTGGGGGCTGGCGGACAAGTTGTGATCCGCCATGGCGTTCCACCCCGTCCGCCGCAGAACTCGCCAATCAACGACCCGTTATATGAACGGCTCAAGACGCAATTAGCCGGTCTCAGCGCGCTAGAAAATCCGACTGCGCAGCAACGCGTACTGCTGCAGCAGATGGTGGCGTTGCAAGAGAAGATGAAACAACAAGTCCAACAGCAGCAACAACAACAGCAGCAGCAGCAGCCACAGGTGGTAGCCGCTCAACCGCAGATGGTCACAGCTCAGCCCCATACGCAGCAGGTATTGGTCACAACACCCGGCGGGGGACAGGTCGTCCTTGGCAGCGGACCCGTCGGAGCTGTGGGCCAACCTCAGATTATCACAATTCAGCCCCAACAGCTTCAGCAGCTGCAGAATGCTGCCGCTGCCGCTGCCGCAGCGAATGCGCAGTCACATCAGCGACCTCAACAGCACGTAAGTGAACGGAAGTGTATGATAGTTTTCACTCCGAAGTGCGATAGTGGAGCTTTCCGGCGGCATAGACGGCCCGCTGATAACGAGCTTTTTTTTTGGCTATCACTAAGGCTACGCTGGCATTATTCACTAGAAAAATCTGTGATACTAGATAGTATGAAGGATATATTGCATATTGATCCTATTTTCGTTGCTGTTCTTCGACGAAGAAAAATGAAACTGCTCGTTAATATGATGCATTCAGTCTTTTCAAACTCGATAAATGCTGAGGGTAGACAAAATAACTGAAAGTTCTCTATGTAAAAATATTGATCTGTCCGTGCTAACAGGCGAATATGAGGTGAGAAGTAACCGCTTTAAAAGGGTGCCATGACTTCCTATCATGCACCGTACGATAAATACTATGTGGGTGTAAAAGTAAGCCAGATCGTTACTGCAATCGAAGTATCTTTGGTACGGGCTTCTTTTTCTTCTAGTTTTCCTATTGTTGTCATGGCAGTTCCTATAACCCTCGCTTTGGGAAGACTAGCTAGATCAGACTGTGAGTCACGGGGTTTCTAGTAAAAGTTCTATCGTATCAGTAATACCGGTGCTAATAACCTGAACGATCGATTAATTTCGAAAATAGGCTCCTCTCTCAATCTAGATATGTGAAATTGACACACGGTACGAATGAACAGTGGCAAAACATAGAATGAATGGGTTCGAATTTACTAAAGCTGATTATTTTGTGTCCATTTACTGTCTATTGGTACTAATAAACATTGCGTTATCTCTATCGCTCGACTACTCAGGGGAATGTAGCTATATGTCCGCCATCTGCGATTGCATTTTCCCACTCATAACTTTTTCGTTGCTTGTTGGGCTGCTTCGGCGCTTGTAAACCAGTTTAAAGTAATAACAACTATAACATCACGCAATATTTTTTTAATTGTGGTCGAGACATTGTCTTGAATATTTTCTGAGAGGTCGTTATCGAGACCCATCACGCTCCACAGGCTACGCAGTACATGAGTGGGACAAAGGTTCGTTTATTAGGAACCGAACAGGATGATTTTAGCAATGAGCAAATAAAAAGCGAGATTTGCAAGAAGGCAATTAGCAATCATGAGAGAAAGATGAGCGCGACCCCCACCTAAACCTCAAGCTCACTTTGTAGTTGTTGTTGTTGTTGTTTTTTTTTTCGTTTGTCGCTGTCAACGTACGTCTCCTTTGTTGTGTCCATAGTGGCGCGCATTGTTAATTATTCATTTAGCCGCTCGATTCATTCGTGTTTAGCACCTAGTTGTTATGAAACGACTAAGCGAGCGCTGAGTAGCCATCGAAATCCAACACAGATTCACCATTATGTCTCTCTCACCGCTCCCTTTACTAACCGAACAGCTGTGTGCTAACTGGTGATTTGATTTCCTCACTAACTACAGTTACGAACTATCGCGCCAGCTCCGAGCGGCGTGCAGATGGCGGCCTTGACGAGCGGTCTAAAATCGACGGGACAGATGGGAATAACCGCGTCAGTAACAACGACAACAACGTCAACAGCTGCTGCAGCTGCGAAGGGTCCAACAGGAGCAGCTGGTGCTACGACTGCCACAGCTACCATTGATGGGAGTCAGATTCTTCGGTTAGCCAACGGCCAGACCGCGTTGCTTAACGGCCCTCACACCTTGTCTGGTGTTGGAGGTATACCACCTGGCGTGGTCGTTGTTCAGGCCCCTGCCTCGCATCAGGTCGCGCAGCAGGTCGCAGCGACTGCAACAGGACAAACGGGCGCGGTGCAGATGACTACCGTTTCGGTAACGCCTCAGTCACAGACGGGGGCTACCTCTGCAACGCAGCCATCGTCACCGTTTGTAAACGCACTTAGCAACAGTCACGCAGGGACGGTTTCGACGGTCGGTGGCGCGGCACCAGCGGATGGTGGAAGTGCAATTGCTGGCAAGCTGCAACAGTCACCCCATCAACAAGGTCTGTTACTAGGCAGTCTTGGCGGAGTTGGTGGTCTGGCGGGCCTACAAGGCTTGCCGGCCAACGCGCAACTTGTCAAGAAACTTGTCCTAGGCAACGTGAACGGAATACCTACTGTGGTGCAGCTAAACGCAAGCCAGCTAAGCCAGCTGGGTCAGTTTGGCCATCTGGCCACGTCCACTGGCCCTACGAGCAGTGTTATACAACTGCTTCAACAGCAGCAGCAGCAGCAGCAACAGCAACAGCAGCACCAACAAGCGGCGGCGAATCCGGCCCACCTTGGTACAACAGGACCGCAGCTAGTAGTCAGTACGGCTCAAGCTCAATCAAGCTCAGTGTTATCAGCGGCGACATCGACTACATCGATGCCGTCGCTTAATGTACAGGCGTCCGTTGCGCACCCACCTATGGTTAAATCTGTTAGTTCTCTACTCAACAAAATAATGATCGGTAGCCAGACAGCATCGACGGGTCAGCAACAATCGGTTTCGAACGCGCATGTAGCCGTCTCAAGCACGATGACAGTTGTCAACAGTAGTCAGGCGACAATTGCGCAGGCAGCCGGAGCGGTCAGCGCCCCTTGCACTATGACAAGCGTGAGCAATAGCTGCGGTATGGGATCCGCATCATCAGCAGTTACCGGTTCAACAACAACAACAACACAACAACAGCAGCTTGGACAGCCGGCAGGCGCTACTGGCGACACAGGTGGTCACCAGATGCAAATGAAGCTGCAGCCACCTGTGATGCAGGCCGTCGTTAAAACCGAGGTATGCGACTCCACTGTTGTGACACCACCATCTGCCTCCCCCCTGCCGACGGTCCCTGGTCACCTGCAGGGCTCCGTTATGGCTCAGCTGCAGGGGGTAACTAATGCAGGTAGTGTTGGTAGCACGGTGGTCGGCGGAGCAGGTGTTGCTGGAGTCGGACTCGGGCTTGGAAACGGTGGCGGGGGTGGGGGCGGCGTCGTGGGCAGCACTGGAGCCACGTTAATCGTCAGCTCAGCGTCAGCTCCAGCAACAGCTTGTCCAACTGTCCCATCACCACTGCCCAATGGGCCGCCCCTAGCGGCCGAAGCACCCAATACGACATCGCCGAACCCGCACCAACTTCTGCATCAGCAAAATGGCCAACTCTACCAGCATCATCAACAACAAGGCCATCAGTATCACCATCATCACCATTCACAACAGAGTCACCAAAGCTTTCATAATCAAGGCAACATGACTATTACCTCATCAACGACAAATAATAACATCATTTCCAGCAACTATAGCCAACCACAGCATCAGCCAAATCAACATCAACACCCTCAAACCAACAGTCATCACATCATCAGTACAAGTGTCGATCAAGTTCTCAGCAGCAACAACAACAACAACAACAACAGCGTTATAACCCCTACTACCACAAGCTTAAGCCAGCAACAACAACAACAACAACAGGCTCAACAGGCCATGAGGCAGACGATCGCGCAGTCGTCTACATCGCCGCATATCAACGTTTCGCCGATGTCAACGCCATCTTCAATGGCCGCCACTGTAGTTGCGATTTCGCAGACCCAGGCCACGTCGACTGTAAGCATTTGATAACCACACGACGAACCACACGAACGAATTAAGACGAGATGTTCTACAAACTGGGACAGATAAAGGATCAAAAGCTAGAGCAAACAATGCGTAGTAACTCGCTCAGTGTATACGGAGTGATCAACGAGATGTCCCACCTATTTCCAATATTTGGGTTGATGTTGTTTCGGCTTGAATCTTCAATCTGCTTTGTTTTTTTCGTCTTTCGTCTATTTTTTCTCCTGAATCGACTTCCATTCTGTTCCTGTACCCGCTCGCACCCGACACTTCTAATCTTCCTTCTTAAATTGATCGTCTCAAAGTTCACCTGTCGAGCACCTGCTCAGTGCCGATAAACGATGACGAAAGTTTTGCCTGATCAAATAGAAATTTGCTTCTCCGGTTTTGTTCTTCACGGTAATATTGCTTTCTATTGGTAGCCGCAACGTGTGTCGACGTGATATGGTCAACTTACTGCGTTTCACGAAGATCTAGCATCTTACATATATTTGCACGAGAGAAAACACATTATGAAAGAACGAGCGATTCTGCGAAGCTACGGGTATTAGCGGTATACCTATTGTGTGATAGATGGCATGGCATTGGAGTATCCGCAGGATGTTAGTAACCCTGCGCGATAATTCCCTCTGTTGGGCCGAGGGCTTTGCAGTGACTAAATATCGCTGAATCTTCCTTCAAAGCCTCAGCCATGATAAACTTTGTTGGTTTCCATGTTAGTATTTGATTACCTTTGCATCGTAGTAACATATAGAAATGTCTGCTTGTTAAATACGACTGGATTCATAATTTTGTCTCTGAAATGCGCATTTGGTACAGGTAATGTTTAACGTTATTCGAGTGACTGCTTTTTGCTTGGTTGCTTGTCGTGATAAATAGGCCTGTTTAAGACAACGATGCATGGCTCGCTTCGAACGGTTGTGGATAACTTTTTTTTTATTGCGTAATATTGTTGTTGATATAAAGGTATACACCTTTTGAATAAAGCGCTATTTATTTGCTAACCAGCCTGTTTCTGCGCGATTTGCCTTTGTTCAATAGTGTCTCTCTGAAAATATTTTTGTTCTTCGCTGTTTTATTATGTATGCTGCAATAGGAAACACGAGGAAGCAGTGACGAACGCAGTGGCGAACGCTATTTTTAAGAGTCTTTCCTAGAAGAGCAATTGCGAGTATATCTTTCATGTCACGTATCAAGCGTGACATATGCGTGTGTGTTTCCCTATTGTTATTATTAGTATTATTATGTTGATTTATGTATATTTCGGTCCCTTTAAAAAAGAAGCAGAACTTCACAAGAACATTGTCCTCAAGATTGACACAGTATGCCTTTAACGTGGTTTTTTTAGCTAATTCAAGGTTTTCTTCCGTCATTTTCATGTTCTTCTGTCGGCTTCGCCACTTGTTTTTCTCTGATCTCCAAATAGCCCTTGATCTCAAGCCCCTCGACCGCGGCCTTAGCGGGTTCCCTGCCTTCAGCCGCGGTGGGCTCCACATTCCAAGCGCCTTCCGGAGCACCGGACGGTGCTCCTCCTGGCAGCGTGACCGAATTCCCCCGTGCTGTGATGGCTGCCCGCCACACCTTGAAGGTACAGGTGCCCATTAGTGTCTCCGTGCCCCACATTATCACGAACACTTGCAGCAATAACAACAACAATAATGTATTTACCAACACCGCGGTAAACCCCGCCCTTGCAAGTTCTGCCGTAAAGGTAAGCACGGAAAATGCATTTATTCCATTAACAAAGTACTTGGACATTCTTCTGTGATTATTTTGGTCAACTATGAAAAGCATGTGACGCACTTGGCCGTACGTTACCTCCACCCAAAATGCAGAAACGCCAGTCATTTCATTGCTTAGTTAGCATATTGACTGGTACGCTCTTCCAACTGAAATATATATTATCATTTTCATTATTATTCTGCTGTATTTAAGCACATATGTAATAGTACGGCGATCCTAGTTAATCCATATCTTTTACTTAGAATTTGGTTTTTTGTGCCGCATCCGTAGACGACTCCGCCCAAAAAGAAGAAAAAGAAAAAGACGAAAAAGGAGAGAGAGATGGAACAGCCCGAAAGGGAACGGGCCGCGAAAGAAAAACTGACATTGGCCACGGTCAAAACCGAAACCGGTTCACCACCGCCACCGTCGATGACAACCCTGACGACAACATTGACTATGCCAGCGACGCCTATGCCATCGGCACTGACCACGAATACGGTGATGGCAAATACGCCGATGGCGAAGGTTGTTATTAAACAGGATCTGTCCGTTAGTCCTCAGGCGAATGGGGATCTTGAACTGATTCAGCCACCTGCTCTAATCCCTACTGTGCTCACCGCCGCCCCATGCGCAAGTGGGACAACACCTGCACTCATGGTTCAGAAGCATATTCCTTCCGTCGTAACACCAACCGCTGCAACACAAATTGCTCCTCAGACGACGACAGCAGCGGCAACAACAACAACGACAACAACAACAACAACAACGACGACGACGACGACGACGACGACGACGACGACGACGACAACAACAACAACAACTACTACTACCACTACAACAACTACAACAACAAGCGTGAATCCTGTGATTAAGACGAAGGAGTCCAAGGAGAGCAAAGCAGAAAAAGAAGGTCATCACCAAAAAGGCGGCGTTGGTACAGCGGCAACCTCTGTTATCGAAGCGAAGAATACGAAGGATTACTCCAAGGACACTGGCAGTGGCGGCAAAGAGTCGAAATACGACTCAAAAGATGGCGGAGGAAAAGGCGGCAGTAACGCGAAGGTAGTAATTCCAGCGATGACAAAAGCGGCCAAAAAACGCCAGGCGGCTAAGGAGCGGGAGAGGCTCGCCCAGGAGAAGTTCAAAAGGCAGCGTTTCGAGCAACGTGTTCTCAACGACCAAAAAGAGGTGCTGACGCCTCGACTCGAACCGTTCAAGGAACGACAGGAGGCCATCAAGCGGCTGCTGTCCTACCACGTGGCGGACGTGGCCGAGCCTTCGGTACTCGCGCTGCAGGAGTGCGACGCTGCCTTCGAGCGCCTCTCCGCGCGGATGCTTCAGGCAAAGGAGCATCTCATTTCGCGCTTCCATCTCACGTCACTTAAGTCCGGCATGGTGAGTGTTACGATTATATTACACCATGTAGATGTATTAGCACATTTTTAGTATCTTTTTAATAAATTCTATTCAGACACCCTCGTAACGTTCGCTTCTCTTACTGTCTTATTCGTATGTTTGGCTCATCTCGTTCTGTAATGGCGTCCTTATTCCAGAGCGATACGCCAATGCATGAAAGTCTACTGGTATCCCGGCTACTACTCGATGACGAAAAGCAGTTGCAATCCGAACGTGTAGAGGAGACGCTCAGCCTAATGGAGGAGCCTGATCCCACTGACTTCTTCCCGCTGCCAACATCCTCACCACATCAATATCACGATCACCAACAACACCATCACCAGCAGCAGACGACAACAACTGCGCTGGCAACTGCCACTGAAACAGGATTCGACAGGGCCGCTAGCGGCTCGTGTCTTATGGACACGACGCCAACAACGTCGTGCGGCGGCAGCAGCAGCAGCGGTGCTGGTCGAAATGATGAAACGCGATCCGATATGCTGCTCCCGGATGATCTCGACGAGGACCGTGACGCCGATCACGATCAGGCCGAAAGTGGCGGAGGTGGTCGTGTAGACGCTATGTCGCAACCTACTGTCGATGACGATCACGAGCAGACCGATCATGAACGCGAGGACGACCCGCTGCAACTGCACAACCAGCGAAGCCGTTGCACGACCGACGTTGACGAATGCGAAGGCGCCGCTGCTAATTTGATGCCGATACATGATGATCATCATCATCAATCTCACCAACCTCACCATGATCATCATCACCACCACCACTCTCACCATCATCACCACCATGATGATGTGCATGAAGCAGACAGCATAGACCTGGACGAAGGCGCTTCGTGCCATTCGGTCGGCGGCACGCTGGGCGACGGAGATGGCGGTTATTCCCGATTAGCCTCCCTCAGCGTCCCCAGTGTACCAAGCGTTCATAGCGGCCACAGCCAAGCCGCTCTCGGTGAAGATTCGCTATCCGAGCTCGTCACCGATGGCCAGCTACTGTCGAATCAGCTGCTGGCACAGAGCGATGATCCCGACCTAGACAACGCGGTTAACTCGATCCTGTTCGCGTAGTAGAACGGTTGGAATCAGTGGACATCCGAGGACAGTACATTAATCTAAACAAATGTTGTTAAAGAAAAGAGCCATGGAGTTGGGCGAGAGAATTCGATATGGTAATAATGACCGATTGCTTCATACCTATGTTATATAATAATATATGTTATTATAGGCAGTATGGGAGTGTGCTTACCACTATGCACGATACGAAAAACGGAAAAGTTGATTAGGGGAAAAGTCAAACTTTTGGAAACACACATTAACCACTATTTAGTGAATTTGTTTTTCCACTATCATGGAATTTTTAGAAAATCATTAACAGCGTATAACATCAATAGAGGTAAAACCAACAACATATTACGTGGTCATCTGTGTGCGAGATGCGTACGAAGAGGCGGCGTTTTCTCGCGTTAAGTACGGCATAATACAACGAGATAGAGATAATAGAAAGGATGTATTGACAACGAGCGAGGCAATATGGCCATGCAACGTGGCACCCTCACGAAACGACCACGATCTTCAATATCGTTCAAAGCTGCCCCCGCCCTCCCCCTCCCAGTAAGAAATAGCGGCCGACGAAGGATTAAATCGATTACTACGAATAGCGTCATAATCAATCGTTTATCCGCTAATCAACGCGACCCGGACCGACGAGCGGATGATTAACACGATGCGCCGGTTAGCAGACGACAAAAAGAAGACAGGCGACAAATGAGGTTGTCTGAAATGTCTGCACGTGTACGAAACAACAGACTTCGAGATAGAGTCGTTCAACTGTACAACACAAACAGGTGTACATTGACTATGACTATAGTGAGGTGGAATGAAAGAGGAGCGTAACAGAAAATGACGATGCAAGCGAAATGAAGCAGCGCGGCGCGAGTGCACGGGAAAGCCGTGTTCGTCCTTCTTTATGAAGGAGGAGAAGAAGACAGGAGGCGCCAGGCCGATTTTTACAACATCGCGGCTCGCTTACCAGCTCAGACGGACAGTGGCGCGAAATAGGTCGATACCAATGGTCGGAGATCAGTGCGGAAGCCTTAACGAGAAAAACGGGATACTCTCAGTTTTATCACGCTACCAGAACAGATCATTACATCGAATCATCGAAATTCAACGTGACAGCGGAGAAAAATCTCGGCGGCGTATTGAGAGACGCAGAGACCTTACAATGACTCCTGGGAAGAGGAAATGTAACAGTTTAACAATGACGAGAATGCGACAATTATTATGAAAAGGAAACAAAACACACGGTCGTCAAAGTTGCGACGAGACTTCGCCCAGAACGTGCATGAATAACATGGCTAGAAAGCAGACGCAAATAAAAGAATAACGTATTATTAACTAACGCAAGCATGCCAGGGAGAGAAGTATCACGATTACTACCTCTAACCACAATTTCTTTAGAAAATGCTCGAGAGGTTACGATTGTCAACTGAAGTACGAACGTGAAAAGAAGGTCAGTCTAAACTAGCATGATACTCTATATAACAGAACTGACTGAAGCAATCAGTCAGAGGAACGTAGCGCCATATAATGAACATGCGAGATGGAAGAAAGTGATGGGTCGATATGCTGCTCAGGAATAGGAGACTCCTCTACCCGATACTCAGCCGGCCTGGACACTCCCGTAGCAATTAAAGCGAACAAGCAAATGAGCTATTGATAACGCAAGTGTGCCTCTCTATACAGATCGCGTCATCGAAATGGCAAACAGATACAGGTAAGGACCAACACGGCATTCGTTCATTGTCGATGAAAGGCAGTGAAGTGTGAAAACAAGGATATATAACAAACGCTGACTGATCATTGTTATGATTACTATAGAGACACGACATACAAGTGTTAATACGATATAAGTTATGGCTGTTGATTTGTCTGTGACTTTTGACAACTACGGCTGGGGCAGGGAGTGTAAACGTGCTAAGCTGACAGAACTAACAGCTGATGGTGAAATCGCATGTAGAAGTGACCTGAAATGGCTGGCTAGAGTATAGAAATGACATTAACTCATCTTCATCGTTACCAGTAATATTTTAGAAGTTACACACGAAAAACAAACGAACGATCCAGACTGTTTTGACCGACAAAAGGCATCCTATCGTTCGCTGCGTCAGTGTATACATGACAACACTTCGCCGATAGCAACATTAGAACAAAAGTATTCGGCAGCCACATAGGCGACAAAATCGGGCAAAATGACTGGTTTTTCCAACTATTCCTTGTCGATCTATAGCTATTAAACTGTCGATGAATTAGTAGATAGGTACTCATCCATATCAAACAACGGGTCCGGGCAATAGCCAGATTGATCAACGATTATGATTCCGTTTGTTGTGTTGATGTTGTTACACATATGGGGCGGTGCTTTGTGTGTATTGATAATGACAGGGAGGATAAAATGGAGACAAGCAAATGATAACGCGACAGAAGGAGCGATACCAGTAGAGAGCGCAGAACTCTAACGAAATCATATATACATATATAGATATGTAATGAAATGTGAGCAAGCCGAGAAGACGTCCAATTAAGAGTTCGGTAGTATTATAGTACGCTTCCGTGTAAACACGAGGTGTGAATGAAACAAAGGATATCACTTTGCTAATACTTGGTACACCAGAGCTTCAGGATGAAAACGCATGTAAAGATCTGTGTGGGAATGTACGAGTTTCCGGTCCCCATAACGAAGCGAATTTGTTTCCGGGCTAGTTTTTGTTAGTCGCGAGTCGTTACGGTGTTCGACGGTCTAGGACTGCCGTAGTCTAGAGATCCGCGTTTGTCTGTCGTGGGTCTCTGGCTCCGTGGGCAATAGGCAATAATAATACCTGGGTTAAGAAAAAGGGACATCGTTAGCATGCAGATCAATAGAGAGAATGACCGTTGTGAATGCTAATGGTTTTTTGATTTCAATCTCGACGGTGACGATGACTATTATTGGATATTTCACAGATTTCGGAACAGTCCTTCCGAAATGGCGTCGGTGTCCATAACCGTAATTAGTGCAGCAGCTATTATTATAGGCAGACGTCTACAATTTATGAGCTATAGCTGATATTTTTGCGAAAATAGACTCGCTTTGCTGAACTCTATTTTTGAACACGCTAGAAACTAGCGTGACATGTTCTACAGAGCTCGATAATATTCTTGGGGTTCTTCTTTGTTTGATCAATTCATAGTTTGTCATATGGCTATCGAGCGACTTAGATATGGTGCGCGTCACCTGTGTTATTGTGTGGAACAGCTGGGAGTACTCGTCGTGTGCGTGTGTGTGTGTGTGTATATGTGTGTGTGTGTGCGTGTGTGTCTGCGCAAGGATGTGAACGGAGCTGTTGGTGCGGGTGCTTTGAGGGGACATTTAGGTACTCAAGAGTTCATAATAGCGACAGTGACCGTAGACCGCCAAATCGAATTGTTGTCAGTACCCCCGGAGCTATAGCTTTGTGACAACGTTCATCAGACGCAAATTAGGCCTGTTCTTTTTTCAACTCGCTGATTTTCCTCATGTGATCAAGACAGTAAAAAAAAGGATCCTCTTGAATATAAATGACTATGCACTTATTACGCTTCCTCTGGAGCAACAAAGATGTATTTGAACTAGGTTTTTTTTTTCTATATCGTAATGCTCATTGTTTTCGACTCCTAAGAGAAATACAGAGCTGAGCTGAGCTGGTTTAACCCAAATGGTTGCGCAACGCACGGAGACAAAGCTCAAACTGACCAGGGGTGGGATTATAGGCCGCTTACTTAATTATCACCAGTTTAAAGGAAAAGGATGTTGTCTATTGTGTTAAAACATTGGGAGAACGGCATTTTTTACGAGCTTACCTGCTCGCTGTACAGAGTCCAGCATAGATAAATGGTGTATTTTGTATGCGCATGTGTGTTTGGGACGGATCTAGTGTGAAATAAACATTGAACCATGTTGTTTGTAGCTTTCAGTTTAGCCAGATTATGGCTCGCAATTCCCTTCAACGTTTCGTCTTTCTTTTGATTTCCTGATCGCAAAGAGTACGCCATTCTGTATGTCATATGTTTGTTTCGTTACCATCGTCATTGCTGCTTCTCTATTTGGTGCAGTCTGTCAGAAACTTTTACGACGCTATCTTTTACATACTTTAGTAGTCTATTCATGTTTGTTACGATTTAAATACAAGGTGAAAACTTTAATTGTTTGTCCGCCTACAATGAAGCTTATCTGTATGTAAGTGCGTGTTGACGTGTTTAAGAGTCTGTGGTGTATATTTTTTCTGTATAGCGCCACGTGCGAACGCGCGACATGAGCGCGTATCACGTTCGCGTTTTGCAGGTACACTCCAATGGTGCGCGAAGCGAGGTATTAGATCGATGTTGCTTTATAATTAGGGGCGTATTTTTGGAACGTGAATTCGATTAAGGACCTCTAGAAGAAAACATCAGGGAGAATAGCTTAAGGCCGACGGAATCGTGAGTTGTTCTACGCTATGAGAATACAGGCTTTTGTGAAACAGGTGCACACGTGATTTTGAGCTGACAGTCAATGGCGGCAATTGTACCGGTAGAACGCGATATGGGACGCAATTCGTTAGCACCTTTTAACCCGTTGCTTGTCATAAATCGCGCAAATAAGATTGCATAGAACGAGAGACAGGTAATATACGACTGACATATATGATCATTTACATAACAACTGGCGAACGAGTTGATTGATGATGACGCAAGAGGAATACTGCTACGCTTATCGAGGGAAGATAAACATGATTTCCATTATACACACCATCACGCTAATCACAAAAGCAACAATTAGTAACATTGTAATCAATCAGTTATTAAAGTGCGATTGTAACAAGGAAACAGGGACAAAAACGAAAACGATGTAAACATGACGAAAAATAATAACACGTTTCAATGTTTTTTTTTTTTTGTAAATGTAATAATACCAATACCACTAATGATACTTGATAATTACAATTACCGATATAGTAGCAGCTTGGAGTTGGAAGTGCGTGATATATATATATATATATATGGAATTATGAAGATATCCGGCAAAAGAGATTAGAGTGTAAGAAAACCGTGACGGAAGTTCATCACCTGCGCTATATTGACGATAACAAGAGCAACAACCACAACAATGACGCAATTATTATTACTATGAAATGCTAGTAACTACTGCGATCCAAACAAGGTGATGACTCAAAATGATAGAAATCGCTGACCCGAATCGTTTTCGTGAACTGTAAAATGACAACACAAAAGCATCTGTTCCATCATTTTATAATTGGAGGGAAACAAAATGAGAGAACAACTGCTATGGCTGCTAACGTAGTGAAGTCTTCTCTACAACTCGTATATATATATATATATATATATATATTTAATGAAGATATGAAAGCACCGTAAAAGGTGAAAAATTATTAGTGAAAAGAGATCTATAATCTATATATGATTCAACTGTAAATTATGTGTAAATAATGAAAAGCGAGATATAACGATGACAGAATATTAGTAAAATAACAATAATAATGAGCGGAATGGCGACTGGACAGATAGAGGCTATCTAGCGAAAAATAAAATGATTCTATATAAAAGATACAGTTCGGATGACGAGGCCTATGGAGAGGACAGGAAAATTATATTAAGCGGAAAAGGCGGAAGGACGGGAAGCTAAACTAAGTGTAGCTGATGTTAATGAAAGAAGAGGATGGAAACAAAGACAGATGACAAATAATGAACAAAAACTCGTATATGTACATATATATAGAAATGAAAAACATAAAGGACAATTAATTTTATACATCAATATAAGGGTGTGTTGTTTTTCGGAAAACAAGGACCAGCGTTTCGTAGATATCCCCTAGTAGACTCAAGTTCGATGATACGATTCCAACGATCGCGAGAAGCTGCAGCCTGCTAATCCTTGCGAACAGAACGAAGCTTGCGACATCGTTCCATACCTTTTCCTTTTATCTTGCTCATTAAACGTGAAGTATACACAGTATGAAGGTGGCTTTTCTCTTTCAGCTCCGTTCTTTCTTAAGTTTTCTCGTTAGTGAGAAGGGACCGATTGGACCGGAACTGAAAATATCATCAATTACGACGTGACTGTGACAGCAGACCAACAGAGAATAGGTATCGAGTTTGATTTCTAGCTAAGACTTTTTAATGTTTTCTAAATTGTTTAATGAAAGGGTGCTTAACTCGTGATGCGACGTTACGCTATAGTAAATATAGTAACACCTCCAACTTGCAATAGATCTGAATTCAGCTTTGCCGTTCAACAATGGGCAGGCATCGCTGGTGCTGGTGCAGGTTTCTCTCCCTAAAGAAAAAGTACATTTAATATAAATATGATTAACTTAGCTCAAAAATTCAATAACTTTATCAATTGCATATTATACATAGAGAAAGAACGTAACGAAGAACTTGTTCCTTGTTGATTGTTACACTACATTTTGAAAATATTTGCCCCAGTGAAAGCTACGATCTACTGAAAAGAAACGCTAATATCCAATGTAAGTGCGTAATTTTCGGTCGTTTCCAGCATGGACCATTGTATCATTCATCTAAATATCATTTTACAATGGGAGCTCTGTATTGCGCTCGTCGTATGACATACGTGGTTGTTTATTTGCCTAAACAAGTCGTATTAGGTAGAAATTATTAGAACCCTTATACCTGTAGAAAATATTAACATTTAGCTACATTAATTGACCCGTAGTGTATGCGTTATTTTCTTACGTCATTTTCACCTATGCGAAAAATTGTTGGCTTAGCCTCTATACGCCATACCTGAGCCGCTAAACATATGGAGTAGAAATTCGTACATCCAAAAACTGCAGTGTATATTCCCTGTCAACATACGAGAACCTCCGTTGTGTATATGTGTGAAAACGGTATGTTGCTACTAGTAGTCACAGGGGTTCTAGATGTAAGCGTAAGTAATTATGTTCGATAGCTATCTTTACTATTCTTTATATAGGCCCAATATATATAACGGGTCATCCATCCTCGATGTGTTGATTCAGAGCAATAGTACGGGCGTCCTGCAAAAATGACTTCTCCCTTAATAACGTCAATGCACAGTGCCAGCTGACTGGAACCATATGTCGTCGAGCCATCTGCATACCGTCTGCCTTATGATGGAAAGCGTTAACACTGGTAAAACAAAACCTATGACGCGATCCCGGTATAGGCATATGCTAGAGTTTACAAATGCGAATCAGCTGAGAGAACACTTTAGGATCTAAATACAGATTCGACACGGAATTACGATTGCGTTGCAGTTACTTTTTAAATCTAGGACACTTACATAAGCTTCACCTCCTGAGTTCTCATTTTTATAAGACCAAACAACGGCATCTTCGTGCACCACACCCGAAGTATCTGTAACTGGCGCAGCTATCGAGAAATTAACTTGTGTCTATCTCTTAACATCACCTCAGCTACTTCGTTAGCGGCTCCATTCACGCGAACTCTCTCTAGATGCATAAATGGGGCAATAGATAACCTCAACCATTTTAACTTCATTACAATGCGGCGTAGAAAAGTTTTTACACATGCGGTGCATCTGCCGTGCAGTACATACTACCGTTGTAAATGTCAAGCCTCGAGGCGGCTCGTGTAAAATCTTCGTAGAATATTCCCATTTCACTCTTTCACAGGCCAAATTTTCCATAATTATGTGGATTAGGTATATTTAAGAGAATAACATTTGTTTTAATTGCTTGGTCCATGAACCGCAGTTGTTGTTTCCGTATGACAGAAGAAAAAACAGACGCGCCCAACGATGCTTTTGCAATGGTTATTTCATCCTAAATGAATACGTTTATTCTTTTCGACGGGTTTTGTACATGCACCCATATGTTATATACACAAAATGACATTTTCAGCGAATACGTATAGGCAAACAAACAAGTTAAGAGCACCTAACGCCCAGTGCTCTTAGGACTGCTGCTGCGTGGGGACGATGCCGTTTCGGGACTGAGCGTAACGGGGTCCCCCTCGAAGCTGACGAAAGCTGTGAGACAATCATTATCAACAAGTTTTTGCAGTTCCTCTGCTCTCAACGGGCTCCGCTCTGGGTAAAGCATCCTGCAACGGACACAGATAGAACGCATAGTATAAAAGGTAAATTATATGGATCAAAAGCGTTCAGCAAGGTCTCAAATATATCATCTAGAAAAAGTAATAAGAATGCGATGTTCGTCTTAGATGATAAACTTGCTGAAGGCGCGACGAAATCATCGATGACACTAAATAGAAGAGAGAGGCAAGGCGTATCTTCGTATGTTTCCTGCGAGTTACTACTGTATTTCGAGGTTTTTGAAGTTAAGCGCTGAGGTTAGCGGCATATTGGACGCTGACCAAGAGTTTATAAATTGAAGAAACTATTAATGCCTTTTGAAGCAATTTACGATGTCTTTACGCATACACAAATACAATGCTAACACGTGAGTTGCTTTTATATTGATGCACAATACTACGTATTTAATTCAAGGTGGCTCTCGTATCATTTTCGGATGTTTATATAGAACTTGTCTGTTTGTAGTTGCATTCTGTTATACAAATAACGTCCTGTTATAACGGCTTGACTGAGTAGATGTTTCTCTTAGACCTTTGGCAGAATAAAACGTACCGAACGATAAATGGTACGGTGTAGGGGTCGTCGTGTGGCTCATCTGCAGAAAAACCGATTGGCGTCACGTCCTGCATAGCATTTTCCCATCTGCCCTTCTTGTGCAAACCCAGTTCGCTCACCATACGCCGTGCTTCGTCTCTTTCGCTTTTCTTCGACATCTGCCATGATGACATTGAAAACAATGAGAACGTTTACAAGAAGAAGAAAAGAGAAAATTTACAAGCCCGACCTTTTGACTGACGAGCCTTATCTTTACTACTATTATGGGACATTAATCTAAATAAATTAAAGCTGCTAGTCTTCAACAATTCTGTCATATTCATCGTAAAACACTTTTTATCAGAAATTCTAGAGCGTGCCAACACCAGGCCTATCAACCTCCCGTTGATACTTTTGCATCTTTATCATTACACTGTAACGCTGAAAATTGTTTTCATAGAGCATGAAACACAAATCAAACCTGTACAGCAACCATGACATATGCCACAAGCTTTACCTTAAGTCGCCGTAGTTTGTCTTCGAGATTATTCAAGTATCGTTGACTGTCTGGCATTTTAAACCGTGGTATCGTATCGTCCTTGTCGTGCTCCTTTTCGATGACTTCTGAACCTTTTGAAATTATTTTGATTGAAATAAGGTGAGTAACTTTCTTAGTGAGGACTCTGTAAGGAAATTGAGTAACTTTTTTTTTACCTTTTAAACTTTCATCTATATTTTGCACAGTTGTCCCAGCGTTGTAATGCAGCTACCATTGCCGTTCCTATACGTAGTTCCTCTATCTGTGGATATTCGAAGTAACTCGTGTACATTTCTGTTCACTAGTTACTCCTTTTTGGCTATGAAAGGCCCCGTAACCGCACGAACTTAACAGGAAGAACAAGCGCTGTGTACTCGTTTGCTCAGTCGGGGAAGTAATTGAGATATAACAATGAGGTCTGGCGCGGTCATCAAGTAACGAGACTGCGGGCTTTTGATTTTTATGCCAACAATCAATGAGTCTCTTGAGGGACTCGATCTAGCGAACTGCATCCATTATTTCACTTCTAACAATGACAGATGGCACTGATGTACACCGCAAGTAGTATAACCATCTCATTTTAGAACCTACTTGATACTGTTGCCATCGCTCTTTCTCTCTCTCTCTCTCTCTCTCTCTCTCTCGGCGATTGGGGTTTAATCATACCTCTCCCATGGCGATTGTGTGCTCATGCGAGTTATTTGTTGTTCCGCGTCGAATATACCTCACGAATTTCCAACTGCTTTAGAGTCAATTTACGGAAAACCCATTTTTACCTAAGTTCCGTATGTCCAGTATTTAGGTTGTTATTTTCTAACATGTTGTATGTGATTTTCCAATGTTAACAGTACTCTTAAACTTCAAGCTATGCTTTTACGAAAAACCTTGTCGATTGCGGCAGTGTTTTCCTGTCTTTCCGGTCCCAACATCTGCTCACCTTCTCGCTAACTTTCAACACTCCAGTCTTCGTTCTTGGAAGGTTTGCGCCATTCATGCTGAGGTACGTATGTAAAATAGAAATACACACTTGTACACACGTCAAAAACATGGCCTGCGTGCCATATCTTCTCTAGCAGCTTACTCAGGCCAACTCTACTCTGTTAATAAATGTGCCCGAATTATGTCACGGGAAAAATGTGCAGCTCGTTTGCGTTGCATGAAGTATTCTCGTTTATAGCGTGAAAAATTATGTGGAAACTTCATTATGGAAAAGCTATTAGCTGTTGTGTTAATCAACATGATAGTCTAGTAACTAGCTTCTATTCGAGGTTACGAGGAGGATCTGTAGGCGTATGTTCGATTAGCTGAAAGAAAAACGACCGAGTGCAATCGTTTACAAGTGCCTTTGCTTCGGCTAGTGCTATAATCTTATAACTTTACACTAACTTACAACAAGTCACACGATCAAATGGCTCGAAGTTATCTTCAAAGCCTCCATGTTGGCCACCTCCTGCTGAGGTCGTTTCGCCCGCACTCTCCGTGTCACAAACAATGCTATCTCCTCCAAACCCCAACGCGAGTTGCCACGGATCGTCCACTGAACAGCTGATTATGAGGGCTGCCATTTTTTACTACTACCATCTGCCCCAAGCACGGACACAGGAAGAGATCCGTTTTCCTAATGCTTCGTTCTCTATTTAATCTGGATATTGGACCCTTGATCCGTTGAAGCGTCTTGTCACTTCGCTGGCGCTCTTGCGAACATTGTTCAGAGAAAAAATTCTTTGTCCATTAAGCTCACGAGCTGCAGCTGCAACCTTAAACAATAATCCTCCACAGATACAGTTATATTTTTCACCTCTATTGTTCTTTCACTATTGTTGACTTCTCAGACTTCCCCCACACGGCACACGCAAAAGTCAGGACGTAGAGAGCTTCCGTGTGCCTGATGCTCCATTTGATTATTTTATGTCTGCATAGGTGACGATGTTGTCTTTTGTTTACATTGCACATGCTGTGTTGTGACTCCCTCACCTTCTTTCTTAGCGTTTTTTCCTCTCAGCTGTCAACGAATCCCGCCGTTCTGCCTGTCATAGATGACTACGATCGTTCGTGTTATTACCAGAAAAGAATCAGTGAAATCGAGAGAAAGAGAGAGAGCACAGGAAGCTGTCTGCGACTTCCCTACTACCGAAAAATTGCTGCTCCACGGCGCATCGCACACAAATTTACACGCATATCATACATAAATGCCTAGAGCTTCTAGACCTTCATACAGTACACGGCGAATTCATGCTGGGGCATTAAGAATACTTAAAACCCGCCGTGGCCCCTCGCTAGTTAGCGACGGATTGTTAACTCCTGAACGAACAATGCTCGTGCAGCGTTAAAAGCTGAACGGAGCAGCCGAAACGACATAATGCATAGCGGTCGACCGTGCGGCGTCGAAGCCGTCGGCGCAAGCGAGCTGCTGCGAGTAGTTCTGTAACCCTTTCTTCAGCCTAGCAGGCGAAGGATTCCACCCAGGAACAATTGGGAAAAAAGCTTAATCGCTTGAGAGTCACAGGAATCAGTTGCTAACCAAGTGACAATTTTTAATAAGTTAAAGTTAAATCTGCATGTTGGCAGGGTGGGAAAATTCGCATAGAGAATGTGCATCAGATCTTTTAATAGAAAGAAAAATGTCTCGCGATAGAGATTCAGAAACCTAAAGAAGAACAATTTTGATATGGGCTGAGAAAAGGAAAATGGGAGATGGCGTTTAAAAACATTCCGAGATCAATATCTGCGGTAACTTCCATTGCTTGGTTGGTTTTTCGTCGTTGGCAAACCCGATATAAGCTTCGACATTCGGTGTTTGTTTCGCTATTAGTAAGGGAGCCACTTCCAAGGCAGAAACTCAGTTGTAGGGTGCTTTAAGCAAATGTTAAACCGGGCTGTAGTAAATCTCTATGACAAGACTTAAACTAGCGACTCCAGATAGCTGTTTTATCAGCCAAAATTTTAACGGTGCTACCATGCGCTGCGAATTCCCATAGACGAACATATAAAAATATGGCGTCTATAGGCGAGCAAGTTTGATAGAGAATGGGTCAGATGCAGATAGATCTGTTGGCCATCCATGATCTCGTTACGTCTGTTGGAGGATAAGGCTAACGCTTTTCAACGTTATCATGACGATAGCAACCGCATTGGATCCTATTGTTTCCTTAGTGTTCACTTTACAATATAAACGCTCCTGTATAATCGAACGAATCCTATATAGCCGAATAAACATGGTTATTCGATGATTCATATAACATAAGTAAAAGTCCGTAACAAATGGCAGAGTCTTTGATTCAAATCGAAGATATTTGCATCAGCTAAAGAAATCTTCGTACGTTCCTATTTATATTGTGTCTAAACGCTAAACTAGAGAATTCGGTGTTTAACCAACATGCTCAGGTGTCATACAATTATCGTGGTCTGGCTAGTTTTTAAAAATTTTACTCTGCTTCCTTTTTCCCGCCCACTACGCAGGACATTTAAAGGCCTTTGCCTAACTCTTCTCTTATACCTCAATTCATTTTTTACATTGGGATTTTTTCGTACTCTACCTCCGTTTTACTCATCCTGCTGCTGGTGGGCGCTTCGGTAGTCGCTTGTTTGCTACGAATTTTGTAGGTGTCGCCTTATAGGGCCAACAATTTTTCTTTCCCGCTGTCCCCTACCCTATCGAGCTCTTGTGCATGTGTGGAGGTGCTGCAGTGGTGAGGCTGGTTCTCCTAGTCTCCGCTTTGATCCCTCCCCCGCGTGCCTCTCCAAACATGGGCTCAGAAACTCTAGGTCAGAATTTATCTCTTATATCCACCTCTATTTTTAACAGCGCATCACAGTAGAGCCACATAGCTGACGATATTAGAATGGTCCAGTACGATGTCGTTTAACGTTGATAGTCTTCTATCCACTAGTAGCCTTTGTTTCTTATCATATGGCGGAAACGTCAAATCTACCTATTGTGAAATTTGTTTTTTAAAATCAAACAAAGTACTATGAAATACTTAACTTTTGTATAGACTTTGCACTTATGAAACGCTTGATTAATTCTATAGACTTGATCCTCTCACTTTGTTCCCTTTTTATGGCTGGCGCAATATATAATCCGGCAAAAATCTCTAGCTTTGCTAGGATTCAACGTTGCCAGAGGCGCGAGCAACAGAGCCCTACGCCGTTAAACGCCAAGTCGGTTTCTCCCCCCAGTTGGTACTGTCAGCCACTAAGTCAGGTACCTCACCGACTTCATCGAACGCATCGTATTACCATTTTCCTATATTCCTACTATATTTTCGCGAAGTCGCTCGAAGCTTTCGCGGAGGATACTGCTTGCGGTCCTGATGCTCCGCACCTCTCTGCTAGCATTGTTTGTCGTCCGCTTGAGCAGCGGGAGTACTCCGAACTCCGCCGCTACGGCGGAAAACCCGCCAACTCGCAGTTCACTCCGGGGGAGAGAAGGGACATGGCTATGGGGAGGATGGGATACGACAGGGATTCCCCGATCCGTTGCCGTCGAAGAGCGCTCTCTCCCTCACTTTCCTATGTTTGTGTTTCAGCTGAAGCAGTCGTCGTCGGATCCTTCCGATGCTAAAGACTATATAGGCCAGGAGAGCCTATACGACTCAAGGCGACGGGTAGTCTGGCAGAACGGAGCCAGTTACTAAAGGGACCAGGCTCTAGGCTCCCGCAACAGCAGCAGGCTGAGCCTTCCTAACGCTGATGCTCCTGTGGCTGAAGCTACGGCGGCTCATCGAGTCTGTGGCAGTTAGTGACGAGGCCAGAAGCCAGGTTGCACCAGCACACACCAGGACCCGTCGAATGGCTGAGGAAGTTAAATCCTGTGCAGGATAGGTCCAACGAGCGAGCTCCCATAGGTCCTGTGGAGTTCTCGGCAGGGCTCGTTGAGCTAGGGCCTACAGCTAGTAAGTGCTGAAGGAACGGTTTCGAACTGGTCGGGAAAAATACTGAATGATTAGTGGTTTGCCTCATGTGTAGTAGACGAATGGATTCGTGGATAGCTCGATGATCGTAAGACTAATGCAAGAAGATATTGGACAGCAAGGTGCTCAAGCCACAAGTGAGTGGGGTGATACGGGCTAATCGCAGGATGATAGTGATATAGCATTAGCAGCGATTAATCGGGTCAACCACCAGCAGACCGATGTGAACTACTGAAGAACGAAACAACTCGTCTATACAGCTACTGCTCGAATCGTACCGGAAACAGGCAGTGCATACGTTGAGTCTTCGCTGGCCGCGGATCGGGCATCCACTTACCGGATCACATATACGTAATAAGGAGCTTCGTGATATTTTACTAGAAAATTGTGCTACATTTCGTAGATCCTACTTATTTATTTGTCTGCTCGTTTATTTGTTTGTTTGGCATCGTTATTCATCGGAGCCGGTAATGGTCGACCTGTTTTTTGCTATCTAGTGACCATCTGTAACTATAACGACGGCCACCACCATCGCTCGCATGGGGGTGGTAGCAGTAAAGGCGAACCATGAGTGGGAACGGCAGGATGTAGCTATTTCGTGGTGATGTGGCTTTTTTCGCATTGTGCCGTAAATTCGGCCGCAGTGATGGCGCATAATCCATCGACTATGGACTAGTTGCTTCTCCGTTTTTACCGTCTTCCTGTCGAGATGTTCCGCATCCAGGATCCAGTGTTCAACGGCAATCCACACTGTTGGATGTCCGAGCGAACGTGGAAATAATGACACCTCGACAACAGATATACATATCTACGGTAAAAGGTTATATGGCTGCGACACGAGAGGGCCAAAGGGGCAACAAGCACCCGTTAACGTTTACGTATCGATACGACAAAACATCCAACGGTAAGGGAGCGTCGAGGGAGCCACACAGGTCGAATGAGATCATGGCAGAACAACATTATAGTCAGATACAGACTGAGGAAAAATCCGCAGAAAAGCGTTGAGTAGGGCTTGTGTTCCGCCGGAGCGATCAGACGTCATGAAGTGGCATTCCTTTATAACTGTGTAATGTTCAGCTGTGTTGGGGCAGTTCTCAGTGTGAGTGTCGCATCAAGCTGGACGGCTCCTTCTGGTCAGAAACAACCACGAATTGCTACCCATTGTTAATTCATTCAAACACTGAGGAGCCCCGGATTTTTGCTGTGGGCCCAGTTAAGCTTTACAAACTACATATGAAAACCGATTAAAATCTCAAGCTAGGTTCTATTGAATCTCGTAACAGTTTTTACAGTAGATGTTGTGTTGTTTTTTTCTCATAGTGAAAAAAAAAACAGCTAGGCCGTATCATTAGGGGCCGCATTTTTTTGTTGAAAGGTTTGCTTATGGTTGAAAATGTCTGTGGATAATTCCAACTGGAACTTTTTTCATTATCGTAACGCATGTAAATTAAAATGAAAAAATAGAATAAATCCGACAGATCCCAGTGGATCGATAAGTTAGCCTGTTCGTGTCACAATTGCCCAAGATAGTCAAGCTTTTTTTAACCTTTGCCCATCACTCACTATTCTGTTCTAATGTGCCGCTCCTCGAAGGTAGAAAAATACGTCATCATTCTTGTGAGATGCTTGTGAGCTTTTTTGCACGATCTTCACTTTGTTTGTATTTGACAGTTTTCCTGAATCCTCTACGTACATGTACCTACCTATTTATACCATGAGGGCTGGTTTACAACCAGTGCTTCTTCGACCATGGACTTTTTCATTGTTGCCTATTATTCGGCCGTTTTTATGTTGTCTAAGGACGTTACGACGAACTATGACCCTACAGCGGCTGGTATCGACCCATTTTTGCCCCTCGTGCCACTTACGAATGGCTATGATCGTGTGCTATGAACAGTAACTAATGGCTGACTATTGCTAGTTGGTTTCCAGCCATGCTGCGGTTCTCTCATATTGTTCCAGTGTTGAATAATGAACACTTCTGTTGTTAATAGTAAGACTGGTTTTTTGAATCTTTGTTATTGTTGCCATTCGCCGATGTTTAAGGCCCGAGTGATCGAGTTTTTCATGCTGAATTTTGTATTCTTCGTCATTGACACTGTAGAACGATAACAGGCTATGGCGAAACATCACGCATTGGTCATTTTTGTACATTTTACTGTTACTTTTAGTGGTCGTTGTGTTTTTTTCGAGCCTGTCAGCTCTGTCAAAAGCTTTCGGGGGGGGGGGGGGGCATTCAGGCTATTGTACGCTCGATGAGCCAGTGTGCCTACCTCGATCGCATCAAATGGCGAACTAACAATAAGAACTGAAAGGCTGCGCTTATAGCTATCACAACATGTCGGACGAAAATGTTTTCGTCGCGAATATATTTTATTATATATGTATCTTAGATATGGCGCGACACAGAGAAACAATGAGTTGCAGTGAATAGCGTAGTGTATAAAGCAAAGCAGACCCTCTTGCATGTCCGTTTTAGGAATCATCATTTTTTCAAGGGATGCAACGGCAAAAAACGTTCCGTAATTACCATCATTATCGTCGTCGTTGACTAGATTGTGTTAAAACTTCCCGGCCGTGTAACTCTGACAATCAACGGGCACTATACGGCGCACAAAAGAGGCCATGCTACGCTGTCAACAAGTTTTGTATCGTGGCAGCGAAAAAAACCAGAGGTATGGGTTGGGCTGGAGAGAAGAGCTATACCTGTTTCTGTGATTACACTTTTTTGATAAAGCAGCGTGAGAACGGATACCGGTAAACAGCCACGCGTGCACGCACGTCATGAATGCATAAACCCTTATTATACTTTGTACTACTGTTGCCGTTCCTGAATTAGCACGGCTAAATAAAACACCGACGTTTACAGACATCAACGCGTGTTCATGGACGTCAATAACTATTTGCCGGATCGTGAATGCCATACGCTCACAACGAAGAACCTCGACAGAAGAAGCCTAGGAGCTAAGCAGGGAAGGGACATGAACGCTTAGACCCATCGTCGTGCGACTGGTTAAACCATTGAATAATCAAACGCACTCGTTTGACTGGGCGCTGTAGCAGTAAAACTAACAACCAAGGCAGGCAAGGCCATATCAGAGTAACTCTATATGTACGGCTTCACAAAGCGGGAGACAGACTCTGTAAAAATGTACAGATCGTCAGCAAATCTCGTATAGTTCATTACCTCTTCACCAAGGGCAAAAGCAAGAGCAGAAAAATCACTGCATCTAATAGGGGTTACCGCTGCCGACTCAGCTAGACCTGCCGTGCTGAGGAAGAAAGACAAGAACTAAAGCTGGATTTGCCATTGTCGAACGGCAAAGAACCGTGGCCGTACAACGATGCTACGATTGTAAGCGAACTACAATAGCTTCCAGTGTACCGCGTTACGTATTGGTGTAGCTGCTACTGTTGATGCTGTCATCTGGCGGGAAGGGAAACGCAGTGTCCGTCGAAGCAAAGCGTCTTCCACAGATGCTGCTGCTGCTATGGTCGGAGACCTCAGAAAGGCAGGACAATTTGTATACAATGGATAAATCAAAATAGCCTCTCCATGGAGCTGGTGATTGGTGACGAGCAGCTTGCTGGCCCTCGATCGTTGGTTTCCGATGGCGTTCGGCGATGTTACGAGCGTTTGGCAGAACATTAGTGCTCATAGCGGCAGCAATGTCTGCGACATATCGCTGCTACTGACCCTGACATTACTTCGCCGTCGTTTCTAGCTGGGCGGAGCAAGTGAAGTGGGCTACCGCTACGGCAACAGTGATGCTGATAATGATGACAGAGAAAAGCTCCCACTAAGATTCAACGCTCCGCTAGCGACTGCCCCAACGCCAGAGTACTTCATCCAGCGCTTGTCAGAGCCGCTGACGCTGTGGCCGCTGTCGTTGGTGAAGTCGCCGGCCGAAAACGCATTTTTGTCATTTCCGTTTTCGCTTTGGAAACTGAAAAGTCGATGAACCCACATGAACGTCTGAACGGCGATGGCTGCTATAGCAGCTCACACGGCCGGAACGTTACAGAGCGTCTGAGCTAATCGACAATCGCAGAGTTTATACGCTCGAATTGGATGGACAGAGTTGTGCTTCAAAGGGATGTGCGTATGACTAACTACTGTAGATCGCAGAAACGACAATATGTAAAACGGTTCGGTCGTTACGCTGACGACGACAACAAGTTCGTAAATGAATCCGGCGACCGAAATCTACCTAGGGCCTGTTTGCATGTTTCCATTGCTCCATACCTGTATCAGCGATTCTCCGCTTAGAACTATTCCTTACTTTTCTATCTTCTACACCTTCGTGCCCGTGGTGGTGCGGTGGTAGCGTGTTTGGTTACTAAACTGAGCGTGATCACATGTTGTGTAATGCCTGAAGGAGCCAGCGGTCTAAACCAGCAATGCTTTGCTGAAGTAGCGCCGGCTGTAGAGCTTAAAACCTGTATTTATCTATTTTCTATAGTTCAATAGGGTTCGAAATGTACAAGAGGGTTCGTCGGAATCGAAATAAGCTAACCGAGCTAAATGTCGACAACTTCAGACGCCACAGCGTCTATAACCACATAAAGCATAGATGTACATCTGTATCTAAAAGAAAGAAGAGTATAGTAACGGTAGACAGAGAAACCATTCAGAGAGAAAGGGCTAAAATCAACTGCAAGGGGGAAACATCGCATCGCTATGGACATTGACGCTACCGCGATGGTATCGCCGTCGTCGTCGTCATCCGTTCAACGGACCGCTCGTTCGTCTCAAGCGCGTACTGCCGATGCTAAGTGAGCTACGAATGAACGGATTCACCGGCATTTGTTGTAACAGCTTTTACGAAGCCTTACGTTGGGACGACTGAGCAGATTGCTCCGACTACACAATACTGAGAGAACCGCACTTTTTTTTCTCTCACAATGTGGCTCTAAAATGTTGCTTCAGGTCGCTCTATTAATGGCCGCTAGAGCGTCAGGCCAACGATACTTTAGCTTCGGCCTAGCGTCGCCTAATATAGCCGATTGCAAGCCTGGACGATTAACTAGGCGTATTTTGAGAAGCGGTATTCAATGATATCTGAGCAGTAGATGTCGGTTCCTTGATGAAGCGTTAGCCAACAACTAATAGAACGATAAGTGTCCGTGTTGACAACACCGTTGACATCAGAGGGAGCATTAGTGCCATCCATCAGTAGCGTGATTTGTTCTCATCTGTCGATAGATATCTGAGTGTAACAGCAAATGATCGTGTCATTCGGCATTAGAGCTTTACGGTTGCCAATTGTTTTGTTTCGCTACGAGAGTATAGGACGCACCTACCTGTGTTTTTAGTTCAGTCAGATACACGACTGTACAGAGTGGAATAATGGTCGGTTCGTAACGTGCTTCGGATATGGAATTGACGAAAAAAAGGTGAACTTAAATAGGTGAAGGTAGCAATCAGTGGTAACCGCTTGTTTCCAGTACCGTACGCAATCGAAGACAATGATGGACGATTTATCTGAAGCTGTAAAAAAAGAGCCAGCGATCGACATTGTTTTCTAGAAAACACCTCGTGTTACATCGAGTCGAACTCGTTTGTTAGGTCTATTGACTGATCGGGGTAGCAACTAATTAATAATTAATCAAACGAATACCTGATCGTCTATCTTTAGTCACTCTGGATTGTTCGTTCTTAATTTTCGTTCATGGAACTTTTCCCATTGATGAAAAACCAATGGAATTTATATTCCACTGGTTTTTCATCATTACATTGCTGCGATGCGCCCCTAGATCATACCTGCTTGATAAAGTTGCGGGGTTTTCTGATAAACTTGAAAATCGTCCAGTTAGCAAATCTAACGATGTGTAAGGATGGGCATAACAACCCAAAATCAAACTGTTCAATGAAAACTGCGAACCCTCAAACCTATCAATATATGGGTGTATGTATTAATTCGTTTAGGGACAACGTTATGGGAATTTACTACGAAATGACATTACCGTTTAGATTCAATAGACTTGTACATGTAGAGGACAGCAGAATCTCACATTATTAATAATATTCGATGTTGACAGAACGACGTGTTGAATTTGCCTGTTGTCGGCTCTAGGGGCAAACTAGTAATCATTTTCGTGTGTTCCGTTTCGTGTATCGTCTCTGTCGTCAGGGAAAACAGGCCTAGAATACGCCATTTCTACTCGAGCTATGAGTTAGTTCAACAAAACGTTTCGTTAGACCCCTTGATGTTTGACTGGTAATAGCACAATTACGTTTGCAACATTTACTCGGCCTGCGACACACTAACTGTCCCATATATTGACAGATGCACGTATTGCAAAACATTTCCCTTTGCCGTCTGCCCACCTTCCGTCTGGCAATCCTACCAAATCAGAGAGTCGACAATCGCCGAACTCCCACGAACTAGTCACCGCTGTTCGCTATCCTAACCACACTATTTTCTGATATTCGTTCCTCGTCGTGAGTCATCTATGAATCAAGCGACTAGTCGATACGTGGGTTCGTGAACCGTCCATTTTCAACTGCAGGATTCCCTATTCTTATTGTTTATGTGGTGATGCTGTTCCCGACTCGTTAGTTACCAGGTAGAGCCAGCAGCATCTTGAGTGTTACTGATACATCGGTTCCATACGAGCCGTCAGTGGATGCCATGCTCCATCGATGATTTTACTGCTGGCTGTTACATTAACATGCCGCTCCCGGGTCATGGTCGTGGTCTTCTTCTTCTTGTAGCTGGCCACCAGCCCACCACTTACGGCCCGTCGCTCCGGCTGTTATACAGCGTTGCTTTGTTGCGTTGCTTGCGACGTCGACGCCGAAGTCGCCGCGACTTACCAAGCCAGCGGCGGAGCGCCAGATGGCAAAGCAGAAACGGGACGGAGACTCCTTTTCGTTCATCTTCGTTATTGTCCAGTGGTCCGAGTGTCTTCGGGAGAGAGAGGGAGAGGAAGAGAGAGCGAATGGAAACGACTCGCGGGAGCGAGTTACAACGCAACTGGCGCCGTTGCTCCTATCAGAACTGTGCTGCTCCCTGTCAACTAAGCGCATCGGCAGCATTCAACGTATTCACTCGTTGGGTTCGGCCGCTGATGCTGTTGTTGTCAGTGTCGTCGTCGTCGTCGTCGTCTGCTGTGGTGGCAGGCTTCACAGTCGGCAACAGCATCTACCTCTGTGGACAGATAGCTTCCTACTGTTGCTGCTAGAGGCGCTTGATGGAGTTTCTTTGGTGACCTTTCACTTGTTTCCCTCCGAAAAAGCAGCAGCAGCAGCAGCGGACAAACCATTTCCTCTTTTTTATACGATGGCCTCACCTGGAGATTTTGGGTGAGGTTGTAGCAGCTGTTGTCGATAACACCAAAAGAACGATGCCGAAATAGATAAAAATAACAGTCGCCCCACGAATACAAACGTGTGTGTTCAGCTGAAAACGTGATGACCCGAAGCTGTGCGTTGAGTAGCAGCAGTAACGATGCTTTCTGGAGCGTCACCGTTGATGCTGTCTGAGCTGTAATGTCTAAGCGGATCTCTAGCTCGTAATGGTAGCTTCTTGCCCGATACGTTAGACGCAGCAATTGTTATTGTTTTTTTGATAGTGAGTTGAACGAAGAAAGCTATCTCTGACAGCTTTCTATAACTAGATGTTGACAACTCGATTTTCGATGTTTGTAACGACAGTTCGCTAAGGGCACAGGCTCGACCGTACGCTGCCACACGAGCGAACATGACAACAAGTGATTAAAGTCGTTTAGAAAAGGTTGATCTGGGCTCAGCGTTATATATATATATTTGAATAATAAGCTATGTTTTTAGCGTGGTTCCTCTTTCTGGTTAAGTAAGCCTTAACACTATTGTTTTTACGTATCTTCAGAAGGCTTCAATCAGATCTGTGGGACGAAAATCTTAGTCAATTATTGTCTACTTTTTGAGCGCCTGGCTTTAGAACATGATTTTTAGTTTAGAGAACTTAGTTCAAGTTTTGGCTTAAGCTTGCACTGAAACAATAACACCTCCTGACTGTTATCGACCAGGGCGCTTGAGGAATATTAATAGTAATGGTAATGATAAGGTGTTAAAGGTGCATTATCTAATGGCAAAAGGTGGCCATGGCATAAATTTATCTTATCTAAAGGTGCAGTATGAGAGTTACATGCCAAGCGGCGATTGATTTCGTCAGCCAAATGTTTTCCTTTTGTAGAAAGGAACGACATAATCGACGAAGCCAGCTTATGTGGTGAAATTATGTGACAAGGTAAGCTGCGATAGGAGCGAAACATTTGCCACGACACATATATTGAATTGCTTTCTTTTATGTCGAAATAAACGTCACTGAGAATTTTGTGAGCGTTCTGACGATAAGGAAGTTTTGGCATGCGTATGCTTGTGGTCTGTGTGCCTCCGTCAGGTAGATATCCGTCAAGAGATAGGGTGTAGAATGTACTACGCTGCTCGTTCTGTTGTGTCGAGTCTCGCTCAGCAACAAATAGGCAAACGCACCCCGTGACATACAATATCATTGAGAGATTTCGTAGAAACAAAACGGATAGCTAATATCAGCGTATCTGCACTCAGTCGCCGTGATGGTTGTTCCTCCCGCTGTGTTGGCGTCAATCAACGACGAATAGACTGTCTCGGAAACAGCGTTGATTACGGCACCGAGTTTCTGTGGAAAATTATTCTACTATAAATATACGACGTAGCCGTCAATGATTTGGATCAACAAATAAACTTATCAGCCAACCCTTAGAAATTCTATGCGATCCTTCTCCCATGCGGTGCAACCATCCTGAAGTTTCAGCCCTACGAGGGCTGCTACTGTCTGATAGACTGGACTATTTCTACTTAGGATATCCTCAAAGTTCTACAGATTAAAAAAAAGATGCTTCATTTTGGTTAGCTATCTTTCACACCTAGAGAATATTAGACAAAGACTGCACTGTCCAGTTCTTGATTTTCGACAAAACCTCAACTACCTACCTCAATAAATGTGTCGAAGTTTATATTCGATATTTAAATCGTTCGGCATTACTTCAGAGGGCTGGCTTCTATCAGAGGGAAATGAAATGTACCTAGGTCAAACTCAAACCTAAACCCTCAAGTGTCCCTAAATTAAGTAGGCAACCACGACACTACGACGCTATACTAGAAATTACCTGCTTGCGAGGCTTTGATTCGATCGAAAAAACCACGTGTCTAAATTTAAATTCCGGATTCGATTTCCCCACAATTCAATTGCCCGCCATCTGATCTCCCGCTGATTACGTTCTATTAGACCTTTATTTATACTCACCACAACCTGCGAGCTCTAGCACTCGTAATAAGCTAAAACTATAATAGACCGTGCCCGTTTTTTCGTGAACATCAGTTAGCGATGTCTGTTGTACATCAGGCGAATCCGCGACGATCACCATCATCATCAGCCATTAACATTGTGATCATTGTCGTCGTGCCAATGGAAATTCATCTACGGACCTCGTTATTCCTATACTAACTCCATATCTATTTCACTGCTTCTATATATCGTCACAGTCGATTGTGCGGTGGCCTCATCATCTTCATTGAAAACTAGCAATCGCAAAAGACGCTGTTGTCTGCTTGCTTGCGCTCTGAGTCGCGTTTGTGCTGTTTGAGTTTCATCTAGAAATCAATGAAGCGTTGAGGCGTGCGACAGTTGGCCGGTCGTTTACTTATTGCCTCGTTTGTTCAACTAGGGGGCTGTGCCATCTTGCCAGTACAAACGGCTGCATCACTGTGTTGTTCGTTCCCTAACGGGAAAATGAGTGGAGAAGCTTGCGGCTGATGGTGGCCATGTTGTCATCGTCGAAACACTATATCGTTACTGTTGTTTCAGTTTTGAACATTGACTGATGCAACAGCTACTTTATGACCGTGATTACGCCAACGATAACAATAGCACGAACACCCACTAATCTATGGCGAGCCCCTGTTGCTAGCGCAGCCATCATCAGTAAGGCCATTGTCGTCATCTTCCAACTAAGTAATATTCAATCGGTTACAAGGACCCGTACCATACAAAGTACTTTCGTTACAACGATCCCCGTAGAAGCGAATGGAAAACAAATATCTAGGGACAGGCAAGCAGGCACTGTAGCAGAACGTGAAGAAGGACACTGATAAACTACAGATGCTCTTGGAACGCTAAGATGTTTGATAGAGAGAGCGGCTTTATGCTTGTTTCGTGCGTTTGATGTACGCCAAGGATAGACCAGTAACCGGCACTTATATCCAAGGCAGAAGAATACAGGGTTTATAAGAGCACGACTTAGCGTTAGAACATTAAGCACATACTTCAGTACTGAAGTTTGGTCTACATAAGGGATTGTCATTTTGAATAACTTTCTAAAGACTAGAATTTATAATATGTTCCTATTATAGCACACTTAGAAAATCCATCGGGGAACGACAGGAGTTTGTTTTTGAGCACACTGATTCCAGACATGTTAACTCGGCCTGTTTTTCTTTCAAATTATTAAAAGATTTTGTTATAGGCTGCATAACTGAATATATGCACTACAGCAAGAACCCAATAGCAGGAAGATTCTTCTAGTCGTCATTAACATCTGTTTTTATCATTATTTCAGAATGGCGGCAAACTTTAGGCTTCCACAATGGCGTAGAGTTTCGTCACCAGCCGGGATGACGTTTTGCTAATCTCTCCACATTATGTCTGCTTTTTGGGGTAAATGTCAAAATAATAATGAGATCACCATTTACTTTTTAATTATTATGATATCTATTTCTTCTGATATAATTTGGGAGAGGACTGTAAGGTCATTATTACTATATTTCTCAAATACTACGCATGTTACCAAACACACAAGTCACAGCCATTGTATGTTGCACCCATCATCCATTGGCTAAGTTCGCAATCAGTGACGTTTGACTGCCATAACCTTTGTACTCGTTTTTGTCTGCATTACATCTTTTTTTTTCTTCTATTTTAGAGGAGCGACAAAAAAATGATTATCAACTGGTGGAAGTGGTAAGTGGCGCTCAGCGCCTCAGAGCGCTTGAAACCCTCCGTTATTCCGTGGCGGCATTTCGTGGCCCGCCAAGCGTGGGCTCTGCCATTCCTCAATTTCGAGTTGGGTGCGTCGAATCGCAACGGGTCTCGGCTGCACCAACGATACTGCAGCATCAACAACAACAGCTTCAATACCAGCCACAACGACAACAGCAACATCCGCAACAACAACAGCAACAACCGCAGCCCATGGACGCGTCTTTTCTCAATGAGCTGCTCGAGTGCTCCGTATGCCTTGAGCAGCTCGACTCGAGCTCGCGAGTACTGCCATGTCAGCACACGTTCTGCAAACGGTGCTTGCAGGAGATCGTGCAATCAAAGGGCGAGCTTCGTTGTCCTGAGTGCCGTACCCTTGTTGAGACGAAGGTCGACGAGCTGCCGGTGAACATTTTCCTTGTGCGACTCCTCGAGGGAATCAAGAATAAGACGCCTCGAAAGTGCCAACAATCGTCGGGAATTGGAGTGCCTGCGCAGCCCGTATTTTCCGATCAGTTCCTTCTGGGAACGGGTAGTTTGTGCTCGATTGGCGGTCCTAGCCTCCCGTTAATGGGATCGGGCCAGACCTTCTACACGCAGGCGGCCGTTCATCCAATCTGTTGTGCCAAAGCTATTTATCCATACGAGTCGTCGAACGTCAGCGACCTCTCGTTCCAGAAGGGCGACCTCATTAATTTGATCAAACGGATCGATGTGAATTGGTATCAGGGCGAACTGAAAGGCAAAGTAGGCTTCGTGCCGGCCTCGTATATTACGGTTGTCACGCTTGGTCCGTTCACAACGGCTCTAACTCAAGGCGGTGGTAGCGGTTCCATTGTTGGTCATAATGGTCAACAGGTTATCACTCCAAGTCAGGCACTGGCCAAGGCCCTGTATGACTTTCAGATTACGGATAAGTCATCGGAAGAGAAAGAGTGTTTGACGTTCAGCCGAGGCGAAATCATCTATGTGTTGCGGCGCGTGGACGAAAACTGGGCCGAAGGTCGTATCGGCGATCGGCAAGGGATATTTCCCATATCCTTCGTCGAAATGAACGTAGCGGCCAAACAGCTGATTAAGATGATTACGTGCAGCGGGCCCTCGCGAGTCGCGCCGGCGCCGCCTGCACTCAGCTCGTCCCTGTCCGATCAAGGGGGAGGTGCCAAAACCCCAAGTAGCCAAACGCCGGAAGGTCTACTGTCGGATTTCTCGATAGTGACAGAAAACAAACGACATTCATTATCCGCGCTAAACCTAACCACGGCTCTTGGGCAGTCGTTGGTGACACCGACATCCAGTTCGGCCCCAGGTGCCAATTGTGAGCATCGTCACTCCATGGAGATGCTCTCCGACCGTGAGCTGCGGTCGCCGCTAGCGCCGCTTGCCCCTGCGATGCCGAAGATGTGTCAGTCGTCGAGCGGGGGGGGCGGCCCGCCCTCAGTAACTCCAGTGACAACTCATACCACTGCGCAACATGGTCAAAACAAGCTACTCGAGATTAATGCCACGGTACGGCGGCATACACGACAGTCGAAAGAGGCTGATTTAAGTTCTTCGTCGCAGACCGTTAAATCCACGTCAATGTTTTACATGGCGCTGTACAATTACAAGCCGCAGAAAGACGACGAGCTGGAGTTGAAGAAAGGTGAAGTGTATATGGTATCCGAGAAGTGTCAGGACGGCTGGTTCAAGGGCAGCGCGCTGAAAAGTGGTGCGCAGGGCGTCTTCCCTGGGAACTATGTCCAGCACGCTGGCAAAAACGGCCAACAGGCCCAACAGGTCCAGCAGGCCCTGCAGGCCACACCTTCAACTATCACAGCTGCAGGGTTTGCCTATCAACCAGTTCCGACTGCGGGTGGTCCTCAGCAGCCATCGGTAACTAATGTCACAGCGGCCGCAGCTTTAGCGCAAGGCTTCTCTAACCTCTGTGTCTCATCACCAATGCGGCCGCGAAGTAATCCCCAGTTGCCACTTAGCGCGTTGTACAACACTATGCAACGGTCATCGGAATGGCCCCTTTCGACAAGCAGCACGTTTAACGGTATTCCGTTCGATATTGCTGGAACATCGGCGTTAACTTGCGGAACGACATCAATGGGCGTCAACGGAGGTGGCGGCGCTCTAGGTGGAGGGGGCAGCGGCATGCTTAAGTGCGGTCAAGGGGGTGGACTTCAACAGGGCAATCAACAGTATTGCCAGTCAATGACGAACACACCCCTAAAGCAGGGCTGGTCTACGACCGCGACAACGGACGTTCACTGCGGAAGTCCTCCCCTACAGTCCTCCATCGGCGTTGGCCAGACCGCTCAGCAACAACAGCAGACACCCCAGTCGACTGTGATAGCGCAGCACTTCTCTATCGTGAAGCGGTTAACGCGGCGCAAATCGAAATCGCCTCCACCTGCTCTCGGCCTAGGTGGAGTCAGCGGCCTCGATGACTCCCCTCCCGTACACGTGCGTTCAGGCTCGTGCCCATCGAGCCATAGCAGCCATAGTTCTCCAGCAGGACCCTCAGGCGTGACCAGTCGCGGAGGCAGTGAAACGAACTTTGGGAGTGGTAACAATGCGTTGGTTCCCGGTCCCCTGCACAAGAAAACGGCGTCACTCGATGACGCTCTGGCGTCGCCCTCGCAAAGCCCGTTGACGCCGCTGACTCCACTTGGCGTCGCGGGCGTCTCCCCACCACCTCAGCAGCAACAACCAGGCGCCGGCGTAGCTCCCGATGTGCCGACATCTGTCTCCAGCCAAACGTCGAACGGCGCATCCACCGTTGGAGGGAATGTTGGCATCGGGGTCGGAGTGGGATCCGCCTCCGAGCAGTACCGCTGTATAGTGCCTTACCCAGCTAACTCGGATTACGAACTTGAGCTCAAGGTCGGTGACGTCGTGTACGTTCACAAGAAACGAGAAGACGGTTGGTGCAAGGGAACTCTACAGAGGACGGGTCGAACGGGTTTATTTCCTGCCTCGTTTGTCAAGCAGACAACGACAACGGCAGCAGCAGGCGTAGTGGCGTCTACCGAGCCAGTGCACACTGCCACAGCCGACTACGCTATAGCACAGGGTCACGTTGTGCCAGGCATTGGGGTAGGTGGACAAGCCGGATCTGCCGGTCAGTTGGGAGGACTAAGCGTAAACGGCTTTAGTGGACTCTGCGGACTGCCACCTGCTCCGGCGATGTTCCAGTGTGGGCCCGTGAATGCGGCAATAAGTCATATCCCGCCGCCCACGCATATCCTCAATCCACCCCAGTAACGTAGGGAACCATGGAAAGCGAAGCAAATTTAACAAAGACATGAGAAGCGAAAAGGATAAAGGAGCATTGTACCACAGGGAAGAGCGCAAAAGGCCGAACCCCCACGAGCTCGAGAGAAATTGTGCGAGAAATAGCTATCAGTTCCAACGTGTACTATATATATACTAACGGGTATTCCTGCTATGTAACGAAAATATTATTGTTGCTTAGCCTGTTGTGCACAGTGAAAAAGATAACAACTCACAATTGACAATTAATCGCCGTCCTTCATGTATTGACGTAGCTTCAAAAGCACTTAGTGGCTAGGTAGCTACGTAAATGCATAATACTTAGAGAAGGTACGAATACGCAGCTGAAACAACAGTTCAATGGTGAAGCCGGTTCGGATAGACAAAAAATACAATACGAGCAAATAAACAAGGAATTACTTAAGCTTATTTATTACCACACGTGTCGCCTTACGGCTGTAATGCATCTCATCTCACACTTCTTTAGAGCATCGATGAAACCGGCGACTAAATCACCCGGGATTGGTAACTCGTAGAACGTCGAGAACGCTATCGACACGTGCTCGTTATTAAATGATAGTCTTACCGAAAAAAAATGCACAACCAACTTCGTAATGTTCAGCTCTATGGTTTATCAGCTGCACTGCTGAAGTGGGCTGCTCGCAGGAAGGCCAGTCGGTCAACAAAAACAGAACAGAAGGGGAAAAATGAGTTACAAAATCCCAGACGTTCACTAGGCTACAGCAGGGTTGAAATTGTGATGACCCGCTAGCCGTCATCGAGAAAAATTTGGGAAATTATACAACCAGCGGTTTCTGACCACAAATATACTGTGATGCGAGATGGCTATGCACGAGAGGGATTTGTACGGATGGTACATATACAGCGAGGTGGGGATAAGCCCAAGAAAGGTAAAAGGCCCAGATCGGCCAATGGCATAACGCTGGTCACCAGTTAATGTTGTCAACAAAATTAGAGCCACGAAGCAAAAACGATGCAGACCCAGAAATTAAGGACTCCCATTGAAGATTACGAGCACTGATCCCGTTTGATTGATTGATTAGCAAATATAAGCGCTGTTGACCCATATAGACTCACTTCCATAAGGACGTACAGGTATGGCTCGTTGAGCTGGACTTCGCCAACGGATCGCTGCTGAACTCAGAATCATCACAACAAAAACAATGTTAGGTGCATCTTGGCGAGTTTGAAGGCGTTGTGTGGCGTCCCATGTAGAAGAACATAACATAATATGATCGTGCATCATCTGTGAGCCAGCATCAGCGCCAATGGGAAACACATACGAGAGATCAACGCGTGACGCGAGGCCTTCACTGGGTGACGCGACTCATACGAGTGAGGATGTAGGTAAGAAGCGGGTCAAGATGAACTCATATAGGCTTGCTTTCCTATCCTGCCGATTTTGATGTGATCATCAGGGGCTGCTCAGATACCGTATAAAATAGTGGTAAATTATTTATTATCTTTACTCATTTGATTTTGAGTTATTTAAGGCAGAGGCTGACAGCCAAAAAATTACTTGCATTGAATTTGTTAAGGTATAAAACGGTGAGGCCTTTGAACTGAGCCGAAAAGCTGTAACTCCTTTGAGGTTCGGGTCATTGAACGGATCTATAAGCTAACCCACTGATCCCTTTTATTCGATATAGAAAACACCAGACCATCCACTGAAATTCAGTTAATTTGCTAGCTGAGAGTTAGCGACGTTCCTATCACGGTTGCGTTTTTCTTGAAAACAAGGCACAGAAAGGGAGCTTCTGTACGTAGATATAAAAAGAAGCGATAAAATACAATGCGTCACGTTGCAAATGCTGCGTGGTAAGGTAAAAATGCACCTGAAAAATACATCACAGGAGCATCCTGCTCGCCGCTAACGGCTGTCACAAGCGATGAAGACATACAACAACGAACCGATCAACGCACAGTTGCGCCAAGAGCCTCGTCTGAGATCCTGGAATATCAGAGAAAACGATTTTGGTGATATATTTATATATGAATAATCAGATAGAAACGTAAACACTAGGTATTGGCATCGGTAGACATCACAGCGTGAAAGGAAAGAAGAAAGAAAGGAAAAGGGGACGAAGTTGACGGCAAAATCCGACGGAACAAAAGTGCGCCTCAGAAGACGTGTAGACCAGTTCAGAATTAGTGCAGCTAAATGGTTAAAAATGGGTTTTCGTGGCGCTAAAAAGGCAAGAAAGAGCGGTTACGATTAAAGATGAAAGCAACGATAATATGTATCTATGGACGACATTTGCTTATAGAGTATCGTTGAAAATCTTTATCATTCAATATGTTACGAGCAAGAGTTGGCTTAAACCCGAGTGAGGCACGGAATGAATATACAACTAGTACGTGAAATCGGGTTTTGGTATTCTCATTATGTTTTACGGCCACACCGAATAACCTAGTAAGTTAAGCTCCACTTCAATGATCGAAATCGATTCGTTTGTATCAAAAAGTCGAAAATATTCTAGAATTTTCAGTAGGCCATGTGTATTTTGATAAGATCGTCTCTACTAAATATTGATGTATAGAAAAAGAAATGTAAGATATAAGACAAGGCCTGCAGATGTTCTGGATACATCAATTCTACCAGCAGCAAAAGTAGAGGAGTACACAACAGTAGAATATTTTCGAATCAAATTCACACACACAGATACACCTACTGGCAGATGCATCTTAATGAAAAACTCATCACAATCAAAAAGCAAAATAAATAACCACCGGCAGCTAATCCGAGAATGTCAACAGCAATGTTACCTAAATTCAATTTTTATGGCAATCTCAAACTGAAAAGGGTTTAGTGGGAATTAATTGGAGAGATTTCATTGCTACCGGAACTCAGCACAATTTACAAAATTTTGAAGTGGGTTAGCTCGTCTCGTAAAATCCGAGTGCTCTGTAATATGCCGCCTGCTTAGATTAATTAAAATTACACACTAGATAAATAGCAAAAGGAGACTATGTACTTAGTTTTACTGATATGTATCCAAGTAGTTTTAATATCTCATGTTCGGCTCGCGAATCAATGACTGAGATAATCTTAATCGGTTTCCAGTGGAAACTAGTCAAATGACGGCAATAGGCTAAACTAAAAAAGCGTTTCTTTTTCTATTGCAGGCCGGATAGGCAAGCGAATAGAAAATCAATAAAAATATAAAGAAAAACCAAATGTTTGCGGATCACATAAATACACTATCGATACATGGGAAAAATTAGCCTTTACTTGTAGCTCTGTGCACTAGGTGTTCTCTTGATAGCAGCTCGAACAGGCATACGCATATACTATATAATACCTGTTGTGATATAAACTATCATAGTATAAGTGTAGCAGTTGCAACATTTCGAAAAAAACAGCCCAACGTTACGTCCTCGTAAATAACATGAAACAACAGCCATTCCTTTGATAGCTCAACAGACAAGTCAATAACAGTAAAAACATGCCTCACATCAGATAAAATAGCTACACAGCCATGACGGATAAATACAGTCGTGTGAAAAATCTATGCTAAAAAGGTAAAAAATTAAGTATCTAGTATACATATATGAAATGAAGTAAAAAAAAACCAAGACACATTCACACACAAATAAACGCAACCTAACAAACTAACCATGAACGAGCATACCGTGTAAAAAAAAATATATATATATATAATATTATATAGGAAATGCTATATGTATGGAATATAAATAAAACACTATAATATATATGTGTGTAACTGAAAATAATATTGTACATTGTCCTGCGTTGAACTATAGTGACGACGACATTGATGACAACAATAACAATGATCATGATGATTATGATTAAGTAGAACAACTACGTGATGATGATGATGATGATGGCTGGAACACAGGAGGTAAAATGCGTTATAAATGACAGGCAATTAATCATTGCACTACTAGAATAACAGTACTTATAACTTAGCGATTCTTAAATTACCACTATACTTAATGCCAAGTCTATCGTGTTTAGAAAGCAGAGAACATGGGGTGATTGTATTATATATATATATATATATATATATATATATATATATATGCAGAGTGATGCGTTCAGATTGGGAAGCACTTTTGCGAATCAGCTATCGTAACGGACATGCGTCCGTTCGCTACTCCTAATACTAAACAAGGGTCCGTTATTTCTAAAGTAGAACAACAAACTTGTGATAGTGAACAGCAATGCGTTGTCTCTGAAATCTTAGCGAAGGTAAAATACCACTAATTTTTTTTGCGCCTTAGATCTACCTTATTATTTCTGTGCAGTTTTCATATAACCTGTGGAAAATCCGTAGTGTGAAAAGTCATCATATTTAACGAGTCGGAAAATTCATTACATCGGCTCAATAAGCCATTTCTACGCGGGAAGTAACCGTAGCTTAAAACAAATAGAATATAAATCACCAATTAGGTAATACAAATAAGCCTCAATGGTTAGTTTTTTTAAGGCAGTTTTTTCCTTCTTTGATTTTTTAAAATTTTTTTTTGGTCGATTTGAGCCCTTGCACTTTTGAGATTTTTGGGTCGTTATTAGCCCAAACTTGATTTGCAAGTTTTTATACGTAACGTATCTGAGCTACACTTTGACGGGTTTTAACGTTTGCCAACACCGCTTGACACATGGTTATTATTGAAAGTTTATTGGCAAAACAAGGAATTATTATTTTCAAGGTATTTCGTGAATGGTTTGGTTGGAACCGAATTGAAGCGGTAATCGCGATAAATGGTAGTATTACATATACTGAATAAACATGACTGCCAGGAATTATACTCTGCCAAGTGCAAAAAAAAAATTGTTGAAATATCTGTCTTTGTTTCGATACAATCTTGAAAACAGAGCACAGAAAAAATTCTCAATTCAAGCGCGCCATTCTGTATATACATATGGCAATAATTACGTTGGTGGAGTATACCGCATAGACTAACATAATAATGAAAAATTGTGATGAAAGCAGATGTGAGATAAACTATATGTTCCAAGACAACTTTAGTGAACAAAATGGGAACAAGTATCTACCTACCGAGCCACATCTCAAAAAAAAAAGGACGAAGACAACAGTAACTAGACCTAGGTCTGATGGTCATTTCATGTTGCATAAAAAGTTGATTCTTTGATTTTATATTTCAGCAAGGTATTTTGTTAGCAAAACGGCGACCTCAATTATTTTTATAGGGGATATCGAATACGAGATGAAGTTCTTGCTAGGAAGTTTAGGGGCTGAAATAAGCGTGAAGTTCGTTGTTTGTTTAACGTAAGAATCAGACCCAATACTATCAAAAATATTGTTGTATCCGATTGTTTTTCATGTTTCAATTGATATCGAATCGTTCTAACCGTTGTTTTTATAGGTGTGCCGCTCTCGGGATACCGCACATGATTTTTAAAGCTATCGGGGCGCTACTTTCTTTCTTTTAGTCTATCGCTTAAAGGTTGTCCGCTGATGTAGGACGTGTTAAATTTCGAAATTTATTCTACACCACTTTCCTAAGGCTAAATCTGTTTATACTCAAGGAACAAATATAAGGCTTTTTTTTATATCCTGCCTAACATATAAAAAATTGATACTCTGTCAAAACGCAACGGTGAGTTTTCATAACGTGTCAGCATATTTCGATCTAAACATAAATAGTATTGAAAATAAATATCAATGATAAAAAAAATTGATCTTTTTGTTTTTACATTACTTATCTCACATTAACGTATTCTATTTAAAATGATCGCATACGATTCGGAGCGTCGTGATCCCCACACAGCATATATCTATCATCTTATCTGTTATACGATTTTCTGACTGTAACATTGATTTCACGATCGATTGATAAAAGTAAAGAATACGGTAAAAAAACACTCATTGGTGCTCAGATCCAATAAACGTGCTTAGAGAAAACGTCTGATATATATATATATATATAAACGAATTTAATGCAATTTTAGGCCATTTCCTCAAGAGTAGCTGAATCATGTTTTCAGTGATTAGGCATATAAGTGAATGGTCGTAATAGTTAATTACTAGTTTCATTTTCTCGAGTTACTAGAGTTATTTTCACTTTGAAAATTTTCTAGACAGGAAGTCGGATTCCGGCGGAACCTTTTAAGATTTATGTCTTCTACTCGTTCTGGATAAGTAGAGCGCTTTTTCATTCCAACCACAAGATTTGTTTTCTTTTATTCTGGTTTAATGCAGACAGGAAATCGCTGCCCAAAAAGGGCTGAATAGGATATTAATCAAACATATGATTAGGAGCTTAGCTTAGTAAGCGGCTAGAGCAACGAATCCAGACGATGTCATGAGCGTAACACGCAAGATTTACGTGGATGGTATAAAATTCGGTCATGATCTAGCCTTCTATGTAAACAATATCTAGTTTGTTTTTCGTAGTTAGTCGTCTTTTCCTTGAATACCTAATTTCTCCTCGA